CGGAGTTCCCCAAGGAACTGTGTTAGGTCCTACACTTTTCAATATTTATTTGAATGATTTATTTTTTCAAGAAATTAACGGTAATACTGTAAGTTTTGCGGACGATACAGCCATTTTCTATGAAGGAAATAACTGGCAACAATTAAAAAGCACAGTTCAGAATGATTTTACTACTATCGCTAATTTTTTTGAGAGCAGATTACTAACAATTAATTTTAAAAAAACTTTCCTTGTCCCTTTTACATCATATAGCAATTACTTACCGCCTTTTAAAGAAATTAATATAAAAATCGAGAATGAAACTATTATTATAAAATCTACAAATAAAATAAAGTATTTGGGAATATATATCGACTCACATCTGCGATGGGAAGAACAGATTAACTATATTATAAGAAAGCTAAGATTCGTCTTATATAAATTTAGAAACCTTTCCACTTTCCTCCATGTGAGATATTTAAAAATCCTTTAATATGCATTAGTTGAAAGTCATTTCTCACACGGTATAATAGCATGGGGTGTAGCAGGTGCCACTTTAATTAATAACTTGCAGAAAATACAAAAAAGTATATTAAAAACAATATTTCACCGACCTAGAACTCACCCAACAATAGATCTTTATCAAGAAGCTGGAGTATTAGATATTTATCAGTTATTTGCAAAAATTATTATTACAAAACAACGTAAAGACAAACACACTTTACTATCAATAAGTCATGACCACGCAACTCGATATAAATTAAATAATGTTGTAATACCTAAAGCCAAAAAAACTATAGGGCAAAAAAGTTATGCTTACCTGGGTCCCAAATTATATAATGAAATACCGTTAGAATTAAAGAGCATTTATTCCCTAAATCTATTCAAAGTAAAAATAAAAAAATGGATATATTCTATCCCTACTGCGAATCTGCAACGTTTTATTTCAACAAATAACGAATGTTATAGTCTGGTTTACTAGTTCAATTTAATAATTTGTCTAGAAAAAAAAAATAGTTGATAAAATGTAAATATTAATATTAAATTAAACTTAGTATTACGTAACTGTTTTTCATATTATTCCAAATATTATTTTTGTATAATTTTTCATTTTTTTATAATATTGTAATATTGTGTTTTATTAAGACTGCTCGTCCTAAATAACCAATAATAACCCATGCTCAAGGATTCTTTTTGTGGGTGTTTCTGTTTATTTATCTCGAACGAACTTGATATACATTATACATTGTTTTTATATTATTTTTGGTAAATAAATTATTATTATTATTATTATTATTATTATTATTATTATTATTATTATTATTATTATTATTATTATTATTATTATTATTATTATTATTATTATTATTAGAAAATCCTCAAACTCTTCATTTTTTATGTATGTTTAGCGGTAATTCTTTACCACCTGGTCAGATTTCTATGATTCTTTTTTTTTATTATTAAGAGGGGTACCTCAGGGGCGTTCCCCTATAAGTTTGGTCAAGCTGTGGTGATGGCATCTGCATCATTTTGAAGTCAATTTTTTAAAATTACTTTTATAACTTGTAATGTGTTACATTTTTAAAATGTCAAGTACTGCTACGTCTAAAGAAACCATTAATTTGGGTTTCCACAGTCCACCTAAAAATACAATATTTTATTATTAATGAAAAAAGTGTAATTATATACGTTTACAAAAATAAAATTGAAGCAAATCCTTTATTGTCTGTTGATTAAATCGTGATAAAAGTACAAAACATTGCTGGGGGTATCTCCTTCAAGTGACTGTATATGCAGTTATGAGGGAAAATAAACAAAATATTTTTTTAGCTCTTCAATCATATCCTCACGAAAAAAATATTGATATCTCTTAGCTAGATCGCTTCGGGACGGTCTGTGCACCGCCTAGGCCGCCCGCGCTCATCTTCTCACTTCCCGCGGCTTTTGTAAAAGTAACCTCAAGACATATAGTGTTTGGGCTGCATTTTTGCTAGATGAGCGAGCTTTGAATTTAGTCTGTCGAATATGTGATGTAATTCGATTTCGGACAGAGTCTATGCAAGTAATTTTTTGATTACTTGTCGTCGTCATCGTTTTGACAGCGATAATTACAGTGATGACAATGAATCTCAGACACTATGAATCACATTTTACAGGTGTTTCAACTCTTTTTAAAATATGGCACAAAACAGTGCATAGTATATAAAAATTTACCAGACGTCGGTAGACGGTGAGGTACTGCAAATGAAAACAAATTAGGCATTTTCTAATATTCAACAAAATAATGGACTGATGATAGATCACGTGACCAATAAATTGCCGACTGGTGCATTCCTGATTTTCATCTGATGAAAATTATTTAAGAAAGACTGACATTTGTAATTTTGTTATCTTAACTGTCAAACTAAAAATAAGTATGGGTAACACAATAATTGAAAAAATATGTACTTGTCTTCATTTGCTTGCTGTATATCTAATGCTGACAATCATATTTTAAAAGTTAGCCTTCTTAGAGATTGAGTTAATAAAATACATTGAATTTTTTCACTCATTAAGAATTTTGGGCAAACTTATGTTCTTATCTGTTTAATAATAATTATTAATAATTTAAGGTTATGTCAATTTGCGAAGAAAACCATTGTATTGTTTATAAAAGTAAAAATATGTCTGCTTTTAAATTTAAAGGTTCATTTACTTCATCGTCTTTTCAATCTATTAATATGAGCATGCGCGTGAAAGAATTCCAAACGATCGAAATCGCTTTTCTTATTTCAAACCAAGCGACCGATGTACCCTTGATTTTTAAGAGAAGTAATAATTTCAAGAATGGGTCTAAATGACTGATTCACTAAAAAAGTAATCCCTTCGTTTGAAACAGATCGCACGATTCGAGAATCGTCGCCCAAGGGTGTCGATTCTTAAAATCACATGATGTGATAGATCTTTAGAGGAAGTGATGAATCACATCCTCGTTTTTGGTCCCCGGTGAATCAAAGCCTTTATTCTTTAATATAATCGACACGGGGAAATTAGTGTCTATTTTTGTCATGATCTATAAGATACATTTGACCTATTTTGTTGATGAAATTCTGACTTTTTTGCTATTAGCTGTCATTAATTTTTGTGTTTCATTATGTCCAAATTTGTGAAGCCGAGACGAAAATTTTATTTACAATAATAATCCGAATGTTTACAGAACCATCAGAATTTAAGTACCGGAAAATTTTCGCAGGAATTTACACAAAAAGAAGGCAAAAAAAATATAGGAGGAAATAATAATTTTAAAAATGGGTCTAAATGACTGACCCACTAAAAAAGTAATCCCTTCGCTTGAAATGATAGATCGCACGATTCGAGAATCGACGCCCTGACGTCGTTCATATTCTCCATTTTTGTTTTAATTATAATAGTGTTCTGTATATACGATTTTGTTCTCGCGAATTCACTGGATCAGTAGCGAACAGTGCCTCGTGAATCTACCATTCGTGTGTATAAAAAACGCCGCACAAGGCATTCCGTTCGGCCTCGAATTGCCTCGCACGCGTACGTGCTCAGATCTGTACCCGCCTTTAGAGGCCGTCTCCATAGAAACGCAGTACAGTACAGTACGAGGCTCAGAGAACGTGAGGAACCGGTAAAGTTACTGTTCGGGCAACCACTATCAAACCAGAGGGCGACGAAGAAGAAATCACCCTTGAAAGCCTGAGAAAGGGACAAGAAACACAATGACTTGAAGGTTGTCTGAGAATGGCTCAAAAATAAAGTTACACCTACATGGCAAGAGTTAAAGGGTACCGGAAGTGAGAGAGCCCCGATGAAGTACATGTAGCTTGCCAAGTGGTATTACCGAATTGACATGTCAGAAATGTGGAGGAGCTTCATTGTAGCCGTTCGGGAGAACATTTTGGTACTAAAAGGAGACTGGCACGAGTTCGGGAAATATTTTATTGAGTAAATTGTCGACGGGATGTAGCGAATTTGTGTAAAAAATGTGATGTATGCAATGGCAGGAAAAAGGTCTATGGATTCGCTCGGAAACGACTAAAATTTAATACCGATAAAGCAAACGCTAGAATCGACATGCAATCCACAGGTACACATTTTAAGAGAGGCGATTCAGTATGGCTGTACAATCCCAAGCGCCCAAAAGGACTTTGACTGAAACTGTAACGGAACTGGGAAGGCCCCTACACTGTCTTCAAGAAAATTAACGACCTGATCTCCCGCATTTAGTTGTCAGCGGGGAGTAAACCCAAGGTAGTTCACATTGAAAAAGTAGCGCCATATTGTGGTCCACATCCTCTCCGTTGGCTCCAACCAGGTCCCAATATGCAAGTTATTCTAGGCGAATAAATAAGAGAGGAGGAAGCAATGTTACGCAGCACCTTACAACGTGCTGCGGTCGTCATAAGTAAAGGTACGAGTAAAAGAAGAAGGGTAAATATTCGAGAAGGTCCGGGAAGTTGAAAGCAAGCTGTATAAGTCAATGATCCTGACGTCAGTCATCAGTTTTATGATAGAAGTTATAAGTTAATCTTATCAGTTGAGATACCAAAAATCTGCGTAACAATATGTATTTAAAACAAGTAAACAGCAAAAGTCTTATTTTTTATTTTTCATATTTTTGTCACAATAAAAAAAAATTGCTCTTAACGGGAATTGAATCCGGGCCGCGAAGACCAAAATTGACCACGCTAACGAATTAAGCTATTAAGGCTTATGTTAAAATAATTATCTAATTAGAATTGTCTACAAACACCATGCTCGAGTGATCTATCACTAGTGCATCTGTAGAAAAGCATTTCCATGTTCTACAAGTTAAGAGTGAGCGAAATATTTCTAATTTTGCATTGCACAAATAACACACCCACAAGTATCAGTGGTTCCTCTACTAGTACTGAGTTTGTGTTTTAATATTTTCAATAAAAAAACCAGATTTAAGAATAATAAACATAGGATGGTGGTAAAATAAATAATACAATAGATTCACTATTGTACATATCTTTGGTTGAATAAAACTTATACGAAAAATCAAATATATTACAAAAAATCTTATAAAAATTATATTTATATAAATATACTAATTGCAAAATGTTTGATCTTATTTATCCATAAAATTTACAATGCAAAGACAAAAATCATTTGATTAAATACTCTTTCCTCTGCTGCTCCAACATGTTTTCCAAATAAATACATTTTTCTTGAAGAGCTTTATGTTCTTGTTGTAATTCGTTTAAAATTTCGTCCTTTCTGGCTACAGACACTTTAACTCTGAAACAAAATGGATGCCAGTTTTAAAAACGCCCAATATTCTTCAAATAAAAGAAATGCATTCATAATTTTGTAATTCTTTGACTTTTGGAAACATCTTTAGAGCATATCCTGACGATTTTTATTTTGAAACACAAGTTCTGTCAAATATTCCTTCCAATCGTAATGTCATCTGAGAGAGCGTGATGGCATCATTGATGATTTTTTAAATAGAAATGGTTTATTATTTAAAGGGCATTTTAATTATCTATCCATCCATATCAATAATTCTAAATGATTGAGATTAGTAAAACAATAAAAAAATTAAAATTTAATATAAATAGTCTAATACATTTGTATTCAAAAGTCTTTTTATCAAATTGAGACTCACTGAATCCCAAAAAATTGAAATTCTGACAACGATCGGTTGGTTATGGAGACAAAACATGGACACATATAGAGGTGTGTGCATTATTCAACAGTAAATATCCCAACTGAGAAACAATTTCGAAATCCACAATCAGCAAAATTGAGAAAGAAAAAGATAGAAATGGGCTATGATAAAGGTAGTGGAAAACAATAAACCAGATGTTCTACTAGAATTTGAAGAGAATCGCCATATCGGTTCATGGCGAGTAGCATTTAGATTATAACATTCGCCATTCAATGGTTCGTAGAACGCTAACAAAGAAAAAGTGGTATATACAAGTATATAAATCGTCAAATATATTGGCATTGGTCTACAGAAAATCCACATTAGATGCAGGAGTATCATACTCAATATCCAGAAAAATGGAATATATTGACGGGAATAATTTTAATGACTTTGAATAATTTATTGATAAGATTGACAAAACTTTCGAACAACACCCCCACTTTTTGTCATTTTAAAATATTCTATTAGTACCTACTATCCTGTCCTAATTTAATTTTAGTTTATTACCAACTAATCCTTTAGTTAAAGAATCAACCAGCATGTCCTTTGTTCTAATTACTTTGAAATCTATTTCACCATGTTCTTATGGTGTTTTATGTAAATGTGTTTGGATCTTAGATGACAAGCATTATTTTTGCTTAAATCAAAGGCTCTTTTGTTTTAATGCACATAAATACATTTTCAAGCGCATTATCTTACAGCTGTCTTAGAAAGTTTTTTACGTTCATCGATCTCTGAGTTTTTAGGCTTAAGGTTTAAAGCTTCGATGGTGGATAGGGCAACCGTTGGTTATTTTTTTGATGATCAGCCAACAGCTGTATCGCTAAGTATACAAATGTACGTCTTCAGAATCTCCAACCCAGTCTAAGTCCCCCATATACCTCCAAAACTTTATTCGGCCTTTCAAATGTGAACCTGAGATTGGACGTCTGTTTCAAATATCTCATTTGGCATTTCACAGCTGATCAGTGAGGCCTCCCTGGTTTGTTACTGAATTTGGCTAAAGACCCCACTGCACAGCTAATATCTGGTCTAGTGCACTATGCAGCATACATCATACTCCCGATGATCTCTTGGTAATGTACCTTAAACATTTTTTTAGTATCTTTCTTAACATTACGATGCACTACTTTGGTAATAATCTAATAAAGGGCCTTTAATACTATTACTTTTGCTCATATACAATCTGGAAAGTACATCTACTATGTACTTTTTCTGACCAAGTGCTATAATACCTTCTTCCATAGCCCGGGTGATTTTCATACTTGAGCATTAATGTGCCTCTCCAAGATCCTTCATAATAAAATGTTTCTTCAGTTATCTTTTAGATGTTTCTTGTGTTTTCTGTCTTCTTATAAATGTATGATTAAAATTTTGATATCTAATATTATAAAATATATACATGGATCCAAACGAGATTCATTAAAATGTAGTTTCTTCAAGACCTTTCTAATTCTCGGTTCCAGAGCCGCCTTGCTTACTTTAAACCGTGCAAAGCCTTGAGCAGTCTGCACGTTCTGCTATCTGATAGCTACTACTTCTACTTTTGGATGTAAAAAGGCTGTGAAAATATCAATCTGATCGATATCCCAATCTTATTTCACTACTAATGCTAACAGAAGTCGTATTAAACTATAACTCACTATAATCGAAAATGTCCCTGTAAAGTCTATACCTGGTACTTGTGAGTATCATTTAGCTACTAACTGTGCTTTATACAGTTCAATTTCTTTCTCGACTGTTAGTTTAGTTTTAAATATCCATTTACCATTGATATATCTTTTATTTCATGGTATACTGCAGTCTTCTAGTTTGGTTCTTAAAATGTTCGCTCACTTCTTCCTCCATGGCCGCTTTCCACTCTTCTGCATGTTTATTTTCAAGAGCTATGATTACTATTTTCGGATCTGACTTAATGTTGACAACTGCCTGATAAAAAAGATTGAATTAAAAATTAGTTTGTTAAGATCTTTATTGGTTAACTTCTACATATAGACTGTAGAAATTAAGATGGCGTTACTGTAGCAGAGAGGTGTTTAAAGTGTCGAAAGGTATGACAGTCGATAATTCTTGTTCACACCTATTATATTATCTAAGGTTCACACAATCACATCAATGATGTCTATAGTTACATAGATTGCTTATCCATATGTAAATAGGAGGGTGTAATCTAAAAACTACATGTTAATTCTGTGATGGCATTTAAAGCCTTCCAGAATGTGCCAGACTTAGGAAAACTCTACAGAAAGATAAGCAAGGATGCATGGGATCTCTGAAAAATCAACAAGGGGAACTCATAAAAACAGAGGAGGAGACTTTAGATTTACTACTAAAGTCACACTTTCCTGGATGTGAGATTATTCTTGACCAAGAGAACAGGAGTAGCGAGGCACAAAACTTGTGTGGGCGATAAATTCCTTTCAACCATACAAAACGGCTGGACCTGATGGTATAATCCCGGTACTTCTACAAAAGGGCCAGGAAATACTAGAAGGACCACTGTGTAAACTTTGTGGTGTGCCAAAGTGGTCTTCATTCCCAAACCCGGGAAAGCGTCTAACGAGGAGACCAAATATTTCAAACCAATCAGCCTAACATCATTTCTCCTAAAAACATTGAAGAAATTGATCTATAGATATATACGGGACGATGTTCTACGGGATAAACCGATACATCGATACCAGTTTGCCTACCAATCTGGAGTCTTGCTGCCATACATAGGCTAGCTCAACAGGCTGAACAAGCATTGGAAAGCAAAGAAATAGCACTAGGGGTCTTCCTAGATATAAAAGGAGCCTTTGACTCGGCTTCATACAATTCAATACTGGGATCTATGCACAGGCGTGGAGTGGCCCACTGCATTACGAGGTGGATTGAGTTCATGCTTAATCATAAAACCATTACCAGTAATCTCCTTAACACAACAAGAGAGGTATCAGTTAACAAGGGATGCCCGCAGGGAGGAGTGTTATCTCCTCTTATGTGGACTTTGGTGGTCGATGACCTCTCATGGGAGTTAGAGAGAGAAAACTTATACACGCAAGCATTTGCAAACGTAAGGAGCATCGTAGTGAACGGTAAATTTGGGTCTGTTGTATCCGAAAGGATGCAGCAAGCACTAAATATCGTCGAAAGATGGTGCCTAAAAGAGGGATTGTCCACAAACCCGACAAAAACCTCTGTTGTTGCATTCACAAGAAAAAGTAACCTTCAGGGAATGAAGGAGCTCTATATGTGGGGACAACATCTAAAAATGAAAAAAGAGGTTAAATATCTTGGAATCACTCTTCTGCAGTCACATAAAAAAAAAAACAAAAAAAAGCTGTAAGAATACTATGGGCCTGTAGACGAATGGTAGGGAACGTATGGGGCTTAAACCAAGTATGATGCACTGGCTTTACACTATGATTGTAGTACCTGTTATAACTTACTCATCTGTCATATGGTGGCACAAGACTAAAAGCATAACAGCTAACAGAAAATTAGACAAGGTACAAAGACTAGCCCGTCTAATAATAACAGGGGCATTTAGAACTACGCCCGCATCAGTAATGGAGGCTATGGCAGCGGCATACAGACTGTTTACTAATGGATTTTGATGGAAACTTTCGAGAAAAGGACACCACACAATGATATTAGAGAAATTAAAACAAAATCCGGTACTAAGAATGTCAGCCAGTTATTCACAACTTCAGGAAACCTTTCGATATTCAAATAACAAAAGCCGGGAAAATAGAGAAAAACAAAACGAATCAATCTGGTATACAGACGGTTCGAAAATGAAAAACAGCACAGGAGCTGGGATTTACCATGTGAACTCAGGGAGGACAATTAGTTTGAACCTGGGGTCACTGACAAAAGTCTTCCAAGCTGAAGTAACAGCAATAAATGCCTGCGCCAAAGTCATGCTAAACGATTCTCTTAGAGATAAGAGGATCTTTATCATGACAGAGAGTTAGGCAGCCCTTAAAGCACTAAAAAGAGTAGAAGTACAATCTAAATCAATATTTGATTGCCAACAGTCCCTCCAGGCCCTGGAAGAACATAATAAGGTCACCCTTGAATAAGTGCCAGGACATGAGGGAGTGTTTGGAAATGAGAAAGCAGACCTCCTAGCAAGGAAGGGAGCGGACAAACTCTTATTGGACCAGAATCTCATACCAACATGTTAAAAGGGTGTAAAAATTCATAGAGCAGACATCAACTGCTAAACCTTAGCAGAAGCAAACTCAAGGCCGTAATAGGACTCCTTACGGGACACTGCGGCCTTAGAAGACACCTAAATCTCTTATGGATATCTGATGACTCCCTATGTAGAATAATTGAAGAGGAGGACTTAACTCCCATTTACATACTATGCCACTGTCGGAACCTTAAATGGGAACGGGAATAATACTTTGGGGTACAGTATCCGGAACCTGAAGATATCGTGAAAGCGCCCATGAGACATATTCTTAAATTCATCAAGAAAATCAATCTGATGGGACAAAAAACTGTAAGGGGTACAATAAGCCTAGAGCTTCAGTACAAGTGGGCTTTGAACTACGCCCTAATTCAAATAGATAGATAGATAGATAGATACTGAAAACTTATTTACTGCTTTTTGGTGAACACTTTTTGAGATAAACAACTACACTTCATACTTCTACATAATCCTAATCTGTAACATTTGTAGTGGAAGCACTGGAACGCTTTGTTTAAGGGTCTGAATCGTTGAAGTGCTCTCGAAGTGGTTTGTTTAAACTGTCTTAAACGGTTCTGAATGCTGTGTTAATATTAACCTGCACCCCTCATCTTCCGATTCGTCGGAGCTCTGATGAATGTCTACATTCATGGATTAGAGCGACAGCGACGACGATTCGTCAATTATCCCTACTTCAACAGGATTTTGGTTAATTGTGATTTGCTGAAAATGCTGTTGATCCTTTAGTTCATCTTCAACTTATTAGTTATAGGACGGATATATCTGAAACCCTTAAATTTTTCGCTGTAATCACAAAGATGTATTCTGTTGCTTTGCTATCTATTTTCGACGTTTTTCTCTTTGGACGTGTACCAAAGCTTTGCAACCAGAAATATGGAGATGCGATAAGTTTAGTTCCTGTCCGCTACACACTTTTTCAAGTGTTTTGTTTTGGATTGATCTGATGGCGAGAGTATAGCTCAACTAATTTTACAATGTCGGAACTTTTGTAAACTTTTTTGAGATTTCGTTATGGTTGTTTGGGCTGCTATTTACTTTTTTGTCTCTGCTGTAGCACTGGGTTTAATATAAAGGTTTATTTTAGGTAAAACTCATTGATCATGGTTTTTATCAACAATTTCGCTTGCTTTCGACCCGACCAAATTCCAGAGCCCTGTATCAATAGGGAAATTTTTTATCCAGAATATCAATTCGTTATAATTTGTCTAGTCCAGGTGATTGGATTCTGCTAATCTTCCTACTGTCGTCGGAATTTACAATATTGTGACTTTTGTGTATCTAATTCTCTTTATAGTGCTTCCAATTTCACTTCTAACTATTCTACTGAAATCATTTTTAACCAATTGGCGATCGGAAATTTTTGAATTATTCTCTATTTAACGGTTTTCTAGCAATTTATGGGCCAATAACCAATTAGCAAAACTTTCAGTAGGTATAGCCAGAAAAATAATGTTAATAACATTAAGAATAATTCATTGATTAAATTGATAAAACTTTCGGACAACGAATAAACAATAAAAAATATGCAGGAAATTACAAAATGTACATAATTAATTCGAACAATAGATAATAAAAACAGCCCTGTGAAATAAAAATTCCTTTTCCTCCCTTAATTCCAAGAAGAACAACGACATATCATAATACTGGTTCTACAGACAATCCCCAAAAAGTACCGAAAATATTTAAATGAATAAGTGGTTTTATATATTATATTTACCTTGAGTAGAGCTGCTGTAATTCTTTTTCACGCGAGTTCCTAAGCTGAATAACTTCTTTTTGAAGTTTATCCATCTCTTCTTTCATTTGGCATCTAGCTATATCTTCGTAATTTTGTCTCTCCTTTTTATATTTTTCAATTGTCTAAAACGATTAAATATATTTGAGAGAGGCAACGTAAACATTTTAATGACTCAATAACACTTGCGGGACTGGAAAAATATAAATTTAAAAACGCTGAAGGATTAATAATTACTCCAAATTCAGAAGGTTAATAAAAACGATAAGGTCGAGTGGGGAATCCTATCTATGCATTATAATTAATATTTAATTCATTCTATTTAATAAAAATCCTGTCACCGACGGAATTTGAACCTGAGACACATTGATCTCAAAGTAACATATTATTATAAGTTTTCCTCGTATCCAACGGGAGCTAATTAAAGGGTAGATCACAGACATAGGAACATTAATAGTAGACCTTACCTCTTTATGTTCCTGTAAAGAAATCTCCAACTGTTTAACATTTGCTCGCAAACTAATAACCATCTCTTCGGTATCCAATAATTTACTTTTGGTGTCACAATATTTAACCTTTGCATCTTTCTCGGCTGATTCTAGATCTTTTATCTCTTTTTCGTATTTTTCTCTCAACCTCCTAAAATATTTTGAATTTCAGAAAAACAACGATAAATTTTAATATAAACATGGGAATGGGAAAAGATCATAAATTTGATAACATGTTTTTCTCAAAACCATGCTGCAATTAACATCAGTAGCGTAACCACAACTTATTTTAACAAATTTTACTAAAAAATTTTTATCAAGCTGTATGAAAACGAATGATGATTAGTGGCGCCAGGCGAAGAAAACATGGAAAATCCCAAGAGTAACCCACCACGATTTGTAGTCTGGATGTCGCATAAATAGAAATTAAATTACTGATTATATGATACCCATCAAATCCTACAACATTACCATGCGAATTAATTAAAAATTCACATTGTTTGATCTGGGATCGGAAGCTTAGTACTACACTAAACGGTACGAAAATTAATTTTAAAATTTTCAAATAAAAAAGTTTTTATTCTTACTGAAACAAGTCCAAGCCTTTCCAAAAAAAAAGATAATTCAATCTTAAAACTTTTAAAATGAACGAAACAGTTGTAGATAAAAAACACAATATTTGGGAACATTGTAACTAACACCACATAGAATAGGTCAAATAAATCAAGCTCAAATAGGGACTGTTAATAAGTTTAATTGTCTCAGATTAACGATCACTTAAGAGACTGGCATTATTAATGAAGTGCAGGTATGTATTTTACTATTGGTAAAACCAATAATTTCACATCAAACTCTAATTTGAGCTGTATAAGCTAGCCTATTACCCTGCGGATTAGGGCGCATTTAAGTTCTCTTAATAACTTAACAGGCCATAACTCGATATTATAGTGCCAAACCAAAGAGAACAATTTCACTAAGCTTAAGTAAATATGCGACGGCATTCCATGCAGAAATAGCAGCAATACAACATGGCGCAAAAACGTTATTAAGGCACAAGGTAAATGAAAGAATCACTGTCGTATATCCAGACAGTTAACCGACGTTAGAAGCACTCAGTTCCATGCAAGTACACTCAAAACTTATGTGGGACTATTTAAAAGCCCTGACAGAGTAGGGTAGTCAAAACAATTTTGGTCAGAGGCGGCGATCAGGAGCAGCTGAAAAATAGGGGCGAAACTAGCGCCGAGGCGCATCACCAGCTGGATAACAAACCGCCAGCTAGTTCTGGCTCCAGAAAAGACAGAGGTTATAACTTAAAGGTCCCTGGAAAAAATCTAACTGAGAAAATCTTCGATTCTCCTTAAAAGGAATGCATCTAGAGCCTTAAAGAGAAGTGAAGTACCTGCGGTTTGCCCTAGACGATTTAAGGACTTTCGGTATACATAGCAAAGGCAAAAGCGGCATCTTTCTTCGGGATATTGAAAAACATCTAAGGCTCTTCATATTGCTCTATAGATCACCTATATGGGGATAAGAAATGAATATGGTAACATACGGGAAAAGGATGGAGAAGGTCCAACGAAAGATCACGCTGAAAGTCTATCGAACTATTTTATAAAAGGAAATTGACGTCATCACAGTTATGATGCGGATCTACCTGCAGGTATACATAGCAAAGGCAAAAGCAGCATCTTTCTTCGGGATATTGAAAAACATCTAAGGCTCTTCATATTGCTCTATAGATCACCTATATGGGGATAAGAAATGAATATGGTAACATACGGGAAAAGGATGGAGAAGGTCCAACGAAAGATCACGCTGAAAGTCTATCGAACTATTTTATAAAAGGAAATTGACGTCATCACAGTTATGATGCGGATCTACCTGCAGGTATACATAGCAAAGGCAAAAGCAGCATCTTTCTTCGGGATATTGAAAAACATCTAAGGCTCTTCATATTGCTCTATAGATCACCTATATGGGGATAAGAAATGAATATGGTAACATACAGGAAAAGTATGGAGAAGGTCCAACGAAAGATCATGCTGAAAGTCTATCGAACTATTTTATAAAAGGAAATTGACGTCATCACAGTTATGATGCGGATCTACCTGCAGGTATGTGAAAGACAAAGAGTCTACAGAATGGAAAACGGTAGAGAGGTTACCCTAACTGGGTAGCAGAACGAATGGCGGGATACCGCAGGTATAGCTTAGTGGACAAAAAGCATATTTAGAAATCTGGTAAGTCGTTCTAAATGCTAGCATAGACATTTGGACTATCATTTTACACATGTATACGAAAAAAATTGGCATATATGTGCATGTACTGCGAGGCAATCGATACCCCGGCACACATGATATTCCACTACAACCGCTTGGTGATAGAAAGGGAAAGGGCGTAGGGCATTATAAAAGCAGTCTTAAAAGGGAACAGTCTAGAAAAGGCCATAATTGTGGAGAAAGACACATGGCATTTTATCCAAAGGATGGCATAAAAAATCCTTTACATGAAGGAAAAAGACGAAAGAATAAGACAAGTTCAATAACAAAGGATGAAAACGGTTAAAAAAACTTTGATTACCATTTAGTAGGTTAAAGAGGAGGGACTTTAGTGGGTAGGTTGGCAGTGAACCGAAAAATCGTAGTCACCGCCAAAACTCATCGCTTATCTACTAAGCTAGCATAGAAAAAATTGTGTACTGGTAGGCCTATTAATAGGGCCTAATATTATACACTTTTCAAAAATCGCAAATTAAAAAAAAATCTAATATGAAACTAAAAAGTGAGACGATAAGAAACAGTTTGGAAATAATTGATGGGTATACTTTAAGAAAATAAATTTATTCTAGTTTTAGATAGTACTACTTATGTTATATTTTTTAAAATAATTGAAGATTTATATGCCTTAAAAGACAAGAAGTTTTCAGTTAGGTGATTATTCTACTGGGAAAGGCGACAGAGCGACAGTAATATTAGTTAAGACAAGATTATTAAATGAAATTGCTGGATGATTATTTTATTATTTTCGTTAACTTTATCAATTGACAATTTTTAAAACATGGGTTTTGATCACAAATTGATCAGACACGTATATGGGCCCAGATTTCTTAGCTCTCATCATCGATTTTTTGAGATTACCATAAATAGTGTCGCTCTCGTATAAGTACATGGAAATACTTCAGAAGTGAAAATAATGACACAATGGTAACTTACGTCGTTGTATCGCTTATAGCACAACAAAATATATCACAACAGCACTAGCCACAGTTTCTAGCTCGGACGTTACTAACAGTTAGGTCGTTGTTCATTTGGGGACGTGGTTATAGAGCAGTCATTAGAACAACGGCATATCTGCCTTTTAGCGGCTACTAGAGGAACGGGCATTATGTCGTTCTTCCACCGAAAAAATGCAATTTTCTTTGTAAATATACCATTATTAACTAGAAAACTTAACATTAGCACTTGCGTCATTGTTCTTCCAGAGAAGCGAACATGTATAACATCGGCCTGGCAAAAGAGAGTCTGTTCCGATTCTAACAGGAAGATGAGGAAACTACAGCGACGTCTGTGGAGTCTACAACAAAAGACCAAACTAATCACGGTACTCTAACCAATGAACAAAGGGTATTCGCAATGAAAAGGTCGAGGTGAGAGAGGCAACATGGCCCACAATCCTAATCAAAACTAATCTATTGGGCGATGCTACAATAGTAGCAAACCAGCCTTTACCCATCCAAGACATAGAGTGGATGCCAGTGAATAAGGGAATGAATGGGTATGGAGTAGGACCTTCAAATAGTGGTACAATAAGCCGTGGGAATATAGTGCCACCACGCTTCAAACGGATAAGGGTAATTAATAATACGGTAATATAAATTATAATTGCATTAACCTTATTCTGTTTTCTGTCGATTTTTCCAACTGAACTTTATTATCATTAAATTCATTTTCAAGTCGTTCAATAACCATTTCGATTTCTCTGTCTCTTTCCTTCCTGAGCTGTTCCCGAATTTCGGTTTCTTTTTCTGCCAATTGAACGGCTTGCTGTTTCTTTAAATTACCTTGCCACGTCTCATATTCGATTTGTGAAGACTGTTTGATTAATTTTATTTCACTCGCGTGTCGTCTAATTACAACCTGTTAAAAATATGTATTAATTTAAAATAAACAGTCACAATTCAATAGTAACAAATATATCAAGTAGGCCATAAACGACTAAGACGGTCATGTCAAAAAAAAAAGAATTGTAGTTACTTTTCGACAATCCTGATTTTTTTCATGGTCTACTTTGAAAACATTTTTTTGTACATTAGTTCATATAAATGGTTTAAATGAAATCAATATTGCATTTTGAGTAAGAAAAAAATTAGTTAATCTAATTGGTCAAAAAATAAACAATAAAGTCAAAGTGTTGATTTTATCAAATTACGGTATCTATGTGATTTGAAAAGATTTTTAGTAATGGTAAATTTCTACTGACGCACATTATAATGCCACATTTGACTGCAAAAGTGACATTTCGTGTTTCATGCTTGATATTTGTTGTTGGGTATAGGGGAGAGGGTGAAATGAACAGTGTTTTACTTTACTCAAAATTTTAATCAAAATCCGTAAGATAACTGGAGATAACTAAGACTCTGGTTATTTCCTACGAGCGAGCACAAAACATTATCGTAAAAGAATTGGGGTTTTCTAAGGTGTTCGCAAGATGGGTAACCAAGATGCTTTTTGTTGAACATAAACGCACTCGACTCACCCTTTCTCGTAATTATTTGGAACTCTTTGAAAGTGATCCGGAGGAGAGAGTTTATTGACAGATTTGTGATTATGGACGAGACCTGGGTACACCGTACACCGGAATGAAAACAACAATCAAAGCTATGAAAAAAACCGGGATCTCTTACCCCAAAGAAAACCAAACAAATTTATTCGGCAAACAAGGTAATGGCATCAATATTCTGGCATGCTAAGGGTATAATCTTGATTGATTTCTTGGAGAAGGGAAAGACTATCAATCTTAAATACTACTGCACTACTGCGACGTTTACGCGAAGAAATTAAAATTAAAAGACCCGGATTGCTGCGAAAAAAGGTATTGTTTCATCAGGCCATGCCCGCGTTCACACATCTCTTGCATCCATGGCTGAAATTAATTCGTGTGGGTTGGAACTGTTGGCGCTCCCACCCTATTCGCCTGATCTGGCTCCCTCGGACTTTAACTAGTTTAGAAACCTGAAAACCTTTTTGGGGGGTCAGAGAATTTCTTCGGATAAAGACTGTAACATTTTAAAAGTCTAATTATAAAATGTTATTTTAAATGTGTGCCATCCGGTATAATTCAATTATCGCCAAACACCATATTCTAAAGAAAGGGAAATTTCTTGAAGTGGGAGTACCACTAACCAAACGATCTCGAATTATATTTTTAAATTTCATTTACTATTACCACAGTTTATAGCTTAAAAGAATCAGTTCGCTCACTCTGCGTCGGCACTTTTGATCTCAATGTTCCAGTTTATACATTGCCCAACTCGGATTTGTATCCCTGGCGCATACAGAATCAAATCATAATAGCCCAAGGGCCTACTGTAAATTTTTACCGCCATCTGATAATGAAATAAAATATACCCCAAAAGCTTGTAAAAACATTGTACTTTACCGAATGGCACCTGTGACAATCCCAATCCTGAAAAAAGTGTTTAAAAAAAATATTTTATATTAAGAAAAATTACATAAGGCATGACAGCGCTAATTTTGTTTGCCCTTAAAGTTTTCCAGATAATAACATATTCAAATATATCTTGATATATATCGTTAACGGGAAACATTTTCTTCCTCTTAACATCGCACAAAAACATCTACACACGATTAGTAGGTAAAAATCATTAAAAATATGAATCAATTTTTGCTGATTTAAAAATTTATTTGTATGCCTATTGTTGTGATTTATTTTTACAGGTTGTCATAGAAACGATAAAAAACTACTATGATAATGGTTTAAAAGAATTGTCTAACAAGAGTTTCTAATTATTATTGACTATCTCTGCCAAAGTTAGGTAAAAATATTAATAATTCACAATGAATTAGGATTGTAATTTTCAGAGAAAACACAATTATCGCTGTCATGTCTTATGTAATTTTTTGAATATAAAATATTTTTTTTAACCACTTTGCTGTGGATTACAGATTGGCACAGGTGCAATTTGGTAAAATACAATGCTGTTACATATCTTTGGAGCATATTTCATTTTGTTATCAGATGGCGGTCGTAATTTGCAGTGGGCTCTCTTACTATTACCAATTAAGCATTCCAACGACCTGTCAAACAATAGCTGTCAGTGAGAAGGTCTGGTATATCTAAGGGGGTAGAGACATAGTCTTGCATCTTGAAACGTTTTTTTTTTATTCGAAATAATAGTCACAAAGCCTGCCAATTTATAAAAAAATGTATCTTATTTTTATTGTGTTTGACATAAAATATTTAAATGTAATCCATTATTCATGATTTTACGTATTGTAAACAGAATACATCGTATGTCGCAACCCTTGGATATATCAAATCTTCCCACTGGCAGTTCATTTGTTTGGAATGCCTAATACAATATATGACAACCGCTTATATTCAAACAGCAGTCTTCTGCGCATCCTAAATTTGTATCCCTGGAGTGGATGTTATTTTAGAACATCCAATTAGTCCGAGTGAGCAAACTGATTCTTTTAAGCCATAAACTGTGCTATTACCTTCTGCTTGTATCTGGTGGTGCATTGGCTGTTATAGTGAAAACGAATGAAATCAGCCATAACTCAACCGCCATAACTCAACTGCCATAACTCAACCGCCATAACTCAACTGCCATAAATCAACCGCTGTAAACCACATGCAGTAATCTGAACGTTGGTTCCAGAGAGACAGAAATCTCTTGATCGAGCTGAGTTAATTGGAAAAGCGACAGCTACAACTCGAAGTTATTAAGAAGAAAGAGTAACCGACAAAGGCGTTGGTTCCTGAGGGGCAGAAATCTCAACTACCTATGAAGTGGCTAGCGAAAAAGCAAAAATGTGGTAATTACTAGTGACTAAAATTATTTATGTACGAATCAAAATTTGATACCTGATAACTGTAAATAATTTGTTTTCTGAACGGTTTCTTGTTTTTTAAATAAAATCGTTAATTTTCATAAGTATATATGATGAATCTTATTTTTATAAATGTTACAAAAATTCTCTTTTATTCACACTAAATTCTGAATAAGTTTTTATTAACTTCTTTTTATTAATAAAGCTAGAGTTTATAATTCTCACTAGCTTTTAAAAATAAACAAAGAGAATGATTGGTGCCCAACATTACCTAGAAAAATTATTACCCTAAAATTGTCTATTTGAAAAGCCGAATTCACGACAGAGAAAAGTATGGTCAATGTGCATATTTATTTTTTTAATTTTTAAGGTAAGTAACATTTGCTATTAAATTTCACTGAGCTAGTAAAAATCTCTATAAGTATTTTGAAATTACATTTATCAAAAAGTTAACGAATAATATTACAAAATGGCGGGCAAAGTGTCAGGGTAATATTGCAAGACGTAAAAAGTACTGTACTAGGGTATTTTCCAGAACTCAAAGAATTATTTTTTAAAAGAGGTATATAAGCGTTACCGGAGAGGTGGCGTAAATGTCTCTTGCTCGAGAGGGATTACGTAGAAAAATAAAACATAAATTATTCAAATATTTTTTTTATTTTGTAGGTTAGGCCACGAACGTTTCAATCCATCGTCGTAATATCGATGAAACCATTTTTTGCCTAGTCCATCCCGGATAAAAGTTGTTGGCGAAAAGGACAAAGCAGCTCATAGAACAACAAGTGGCCCCGCATGAGAAAATATACCAGTCTTCTCGGCGGAAATGCTGCAGGTGAACATCTTCTACCCTTGTTAGTATTTAAAGGGAAGAATATTTGGGATAGCTGTATTGCAAACACGGATTATACTGGATGATTTATGTAGCAACAAAAAATGGGTGGATGAGACAGAAACATTTTAAAAATATTTTGAAAACAACTTTTTACAAAATACTGGCAAAGAAAGGCGAGTTATAATAGTTTATTATGGTCACAGTTCACATAGTATTTTTCTGATAGAAAAAGGAATAGCTATTGATATACTAATAATGACACTTTCGCCCCATTCTAGTTATTTATTAGACCCCATAGATCTATGTGTATTTAAATGATTAAAAATAGCATGGAATGTAGAATCGACAAAATGGTGACACCAAATTTCCGATAGAAATGTTTTACACCATAATTTATAAAATATGGTCTAAAGCAAGTTCCGCATTACTTATTGTCGTCAGAGCAACCTCCTTGATGTAAATATCAAGGAGAGTGAGACTAAGAATAACTTCCATCGCTCTTGTCGGTATTGTTTTCATAGATCCTGTTATGTTGAGACATGCTGTGCTTTAAATTTGTTCTAGTTTAGGGATAGCTGTTAATTTTTGGGTTTTCGGTACTTAGACAACTGCACCGTATGTTAGCGTAGGTCTTATGATAGCCATGTAAGTCCTGGCGGCATTGTTCATAAGCAATGTATGCTCTTTTAACTCTGTTTTCTAAATGCGAGTTAACTTGCTGTCAAAGGTGAGACCTAGATAATTCACCTCTGTTGCAAAGTTTAGTTTTGTGTTTAGGAGTTCTGGAGGTTTTAATTCCATTTTCATCCTTTTCCTTCTGAGACCATTTCTGTCTTCTTAGGATTGATAGACAGTGAATGGTCCTTGTACCACTGTTTTATAATTTTTAGAGCTACTTGCATTCTTTCGCAGAGTATGTTCTCAAAATTTCCTGTTTGCAGAATGACCAGGTCATCTGCCTATGCTATTGTGTAGTGACTGTCATTACTGAGGCGGATGATGAAAGTGTTGAGGACCATATTCCATAGTAGAGGTGATAGCACCCCTCCCTGTGAACATCCCCTCGCAACCAAGCCTCTTATATTCGCATCTTCTACACTTATGTTTACTGCTCGCTTTGAGAGTATGTTATGTATCCACCCCTTTGGGAAGGTGGTTTTATCAAAAGCACCTTCTATGTCTATAAAAACACTCAAAGGCGGACTTCTTATTGTCCAGGGATCTTTCTATCCGACCAGCAACTAGATGAATAGCTGAATCAGTAGATCTGCCTGGGGTGTATGCATGTTGGTTTGGGTGTAGTGGTGTTGTTGTAATCACCGCATCCCTTATGTACCTTTCGCATTGCCTTTCCAATATCTGTGTGTGAGTTCTTCCAGACCCCACTGAAGTAGGGTTGGATAGATATTCAGGTCCTGGCGATTTAAATGGAGAGAAGCTGGATATTTCCCATCTAATTTTTTCATCGTCTATAATGTGTTTGGCAGTTTGCCAATCATAGAGGGATTGTATTCTTCCTCTCTCCAGTCGGCCACGTCTGTGATGACCGAGTCAGGGAAGTGTGTTAACCGCAGAAGTTTAATGCTATCTTCGTGGTTGGCAGTTTTCGTGCCATCTTCTTTGATTAGCGCACCAATGCTTCGATGTGGATCTTTTAAGAGAGCTTTTTGAAGCCTCACTGCCTGCGGGAAATCTTCGATTTCTTCGCATCTCTATGTTTTTGTCTGACGATTTTTTTGTATTCTCTGAGGTAAGATTTATAGGTATACTAGTCCTCTTTGAGTTTTGTGGTTCTTGCCTTTTTAAAGGATTTCCTAGCCATCTTCTCGAGTTGATCCAACTCGTGACACCACTATGCGGTAGTCGTTTGATCATGTTGGACCAGCCTCAGGGAACAAGATTTCTTGTGGGCATTGTTTATTGTGCTTTGGATAGTGTTCGAGTACTTCTCCAAAGCATTGTTATTATTTGGTATTTCGTCCTGTATCCTAAACACTTTATATAGAATGTTATGTAGTTTGTAATTGAATCTCAAAAAATTTTAATATAAAATTTATAAAATAAATGGTTTTATTTTAATTTGTGTTTAATATATCCTAAAACTCAATAAGATCAAAATTCTACGCGCGACCTCTGTTGTTTTAAATGACCACGTGACCAATTGAAGGTGAAATTAAATAATAATTCAAAAACTATGTATTTACTTTATAAAAACTTCGTTTGGTACATCAATTAGGTATGTCATCACTAAGACAGTGTACATTATTGAATGCGATCTAGATATCAAGATATACAAGATCAAAGGACTCTCTTCGAATAATTCTAAATATTTGTAGTAAATATAATTTTTAGATCACTCCAACGCACCTTAAATTTAGAAGCCTTCCTTAAAAACAGAGCCAGGCACATTTTCAAAATATGTATATGAAGAAAAATGTGTTTTTATTCAATGTCTACTGTAAAAGTGTTATGATGTCCGAAAATAATAGCTGATTTTCACCTGTAATCTTTCTTCAAACTCTTCCTGTACTTGTTTAATTGCCTTATCTTTTTCTACGGTCGCAGCGGTTTCCCTCTCTTCGCATTCTTTTACTTTATTGGCATGATCTGAGAATAATATTTTGCGCTGTTCTTGATAGGCTTTTTCTTCCGTTTCAACCATTTTTTCGTAACTACAAAATAACGTCTTTAATTATTTAAAGGATGATTACCTTTAACTATATACTTGTATTGAAGTCCAAAAATAAAATAAAAAAATTACCGTTGCCTCATCAACTCTCTTTCGTGTGCAAGCGCTTTTTCCCTTTCTTCCATCAATTGCTGCCTCAGTGCTTCGCATTGCTGTTGCATTTTTCTTGCCGATTTTAGTTCTAAATCTTCTATTTCTCTTTTATGAAGCGATCTAATATCACTCAATTCTTGTTGTTGTCTTTTTTCCATACTTGCTAATTCGGGTTCTATGCTTCTTACAGTAAGTTCCTAAAAGTTTTAATGATTAGTCAGCATAAATGTATAAAAACAGGTTTTATCAAACATTTGTGTAAAAATTAAATTACAGTGAATAAAATGAATGGGTTGTAAAGCCGAATAAATAGGTTACTATCTTGAGGTTGATGGGATTTTGTTTTTGTTTTATTTATAATTTATTAAACTAACACCACAAAGAAAGCCTCTGGGATACCAGGCAACTTTCCAGTAGTAATCAGCCTTACTACGGTAATTCAGGACTCTACAGTAGTTAACCACCCCTTACCTAGCTGTTTGTGGAATTAGAATGAAGAACCATTCAGATAACAACGACAATCCTCTTGACTATCAGGAAACTAGCTAAGAATCCAACTCAAACGCAAATAAAATCCCATTCAACCGTTAACATTAAGCAAGCCGATGCTTTTTTCCAGAAGTAAGACGCCAAAGCAGCCTCATTTGTTCTTGGCAAGAGATCTGTCAAGGAGAGACTAGACATCGCGTTTATACAGACGCCCTAAAGTCCCAACAGCTGCCGTATAAGCGGTCTTGGGATTTGTTTAGGTAATTTGGTAGTGGACGACTATCCGGACAAACCCAGAGCACGCCCACCTATCATAAATAATATAAAATTCATTATGTTAACAGGTTACTGCACCCTGTTGTAGTTGTAGCCCATATTTTGATTCTGGCGAGGAACAACAGTTAAGGATGTCGTCGTCTGCTCTGCTTACTTTCCAGAAGACGCAGGTCAAGACCAACTTCTTCAGCGATAGTGTGAGAAATATTGCAAGATGAACAACAAACAGCTAGTCATCGGATGCGAAGCAGCATAGGAACTGGGAACTACCGAGATCAATGGGCAAGGTGAGCAACTATATAATTGGTGACCCAAAAAGCACAGTGGATACGAAATTTCCCCCAGGAAAGGCTGTGAAACGTAAATAAAACTAATTAGAATAGCGCAAAGATTGAAGTATCGAATGATCAAATTCAAAACGGCCTTATGGCTACCTATCAGGACAACTGCATATTAAAGAAGACATAAGGGGAACTGTATGGTGAAACAGAATTCTGGCGCAAAACAGAAAAAAGTTTGACATCTCTTTAACAAAGTATAACAGAATCAAAAAAAAAGTCTAGCGGGAATCGTGGAGAAAGCAACAGACTTCACAATATTCTCGCCAGAAACAAAAACACTTCCCGGGCAGTCGAATTCTGGAAAACAGTCAACCTGTACGCCTTAATTCTATGGAATCGCCCACATGACTCAGAAAGGAGGACTATAACTACGTTTCACAAGTTGAGAAAAAGAGGATGGTGGATCCTGGTTGTTCATGGTAATCTTTACATTTAAATTTAAGGTTCCAAATCGTTGGCTCACCCTCATACATTTCTATAAATTTAAATATTTAATCATTAGTTCACGCCGCCATTGTAGATTCTTTAAGAATTGCTACTTGCTACCTGCCACACTGATATATCAGCAAACGTGTGGATAAACAAAAGCAACTATAGGCGATTATCTTTGATCGTCTGTGAAAAACTCATCCATTATCGACGATCACTGCCAATTATGACCAATCACGGATGGTACTTGCCTATAATCGCCCATGGTGGACGATCGTGTATAGCAGCCATTTACATTTGACAGAAAATAAACTATCAGAAGTATTTAATAAACTATCAAAAGTTATCCGAAGTCATTCTTATTCTCACTTTCCATAATATTCCATCAAGGAGGTTGCTCTGACGACAATGACATGCCTCCGCACGGTCGGAATAGAACCTGATGTAGGATGTTGTGAGGCGAGATGTCACTTTTGGCAGGAGGCGCTCGATACGCTCCCAATGCTTCAAGCGAACATGGACTCCATCTCACCCAAATACATATTTCATAAGCCATATAAAGTTATAATAGACCAAATAGAAGAGCCGAAAGTGGCAGATACGATTCATATCACCACCGACGGTTCTAAAACAAAACAAGGCTAAACATAAACCTAACAAACCTAAACATAAAATGATCTGTGAGAAATAGTGCCAGTGTAGTTCAAACAGAGCTAACAAGGATTCTCATAGCAGCAAAAGAAATAACTAGAAAGAATAACACTGGAAGGAACATGCTCATCTATACAGATAGCAGACAAGCACTACTCACCCTGAACAGACCACGAAATTATTCAGGGTACGAGAATGTCACGAAGCTTTGGCCAAAGTATCCATCAACAATGTGGTCACCTTAAGATGGATTAAAGGTCACGCCACATCAAAACGTAACCGTCTTGCTGATTCACTAGCCAAGAAAGCAGCCAACCAAATACTTTTTGGACCTGGCTCTTCTATTGGCTTGACAAAATCGGTAGCGATAGACCTAATCAAGAACATTCCCTTGTGAAATTCAAGGAAAGATGGGATGAAACAAGAAACTGCAAAGTTGCCAAGGAGCTCTTAAGTTATCCTGACAACACTGCAGCAAACAAATACTTGACTATGACTAGACAGAATCTGCGCCTAGTCACAGGCATTCTGACTGGTCATTGTCAAGTACGAAAGCATCTCCATATCATGGGGCTGTCAGAATCCGCACTCTGCAGAGGGTGCAAACAAGAAGATGAGACCATCGAGATTATCCCTTACGATTGCTCGACGCTCTCAATTATTAGAAGATTTGTGTTCGGCGAGTATCGGCTAACACCGGCCGATATAAGAGAAGCACCTCTTGGCGACGTTGTCAACTACATTAAATCTGTAGGGTGGCTCACGAGCTAGGAGGTGCCTATCATCTCAGGAAGATGCACAATGGGCCTAACGAAGCCTAAGTGCCGTGGGGTAACCCACCCTCCACACGTTACAGATACATAGAACAGTTATCAGAAATAATTTTAATTTAGAGTAAATATGGCAAGTTGATGGTAGTTATTCTACAAGTTATATTTCAATGCTCACCTTTATTTTTTGCGTTTTAGTATCAATCCATCTATCTCTTCTCAGTTTCTCTCCTGCAATGTGCATCTCTTTCAATTTCTTAATTTCGACTTGGTGTTTATGTTCCATTGCTCTTGTATTTGAAGTGTATCGATCTTCAACAACTTTCAGTTCTTGTATCAGGCTTTCACATTGTTGGTTTAAGGATCTCTTATCTGCTATCAGTTGGTCTAGAAAATAAAATATATGAAATAGCGATCGTCAATATAACAACAAACGTCAGTTTCTAAGCAAGCCTAACTGTAATTAATTAAAGGTAAGAGAAAAAGTATATTTGAAAGAATACCAGGGACTTAAAAACACAAAACGCTTTTAATTACAGTATAAGTGAGGTACTAAACTAAAAAAAAACTAGTTGTTAAAAACCTACCTATAAATTTCTGATGACGTTTAATAACTCCTTCGTACTCGTCCTTTTGTTCTTTTAACTTCTGTTTTACGGTTTGTTCGGTTTGCTTGGATTGGTTCACAACCTTTTCCCGAAGAGTGCTCATCTCTTCCTGAAGAACGGATATCGAAGAAGATTTGTCTTTGACTCGAAGGCTAAGATCTACAATCTGTCGAATCAGTTCTTCCATTGAAAGAGCTCGTAGATCTTCTGGCCTATTTGAGAAGTGTTAATAATTAATAGCAAGAGGTATTATGCGAATTACTGACTCTATGACTAATACTAACCTTGGTATGGTATCCAGTTTAAGTGTTGATTTAGCAGTATCTGTTACCATCCTGACATTTTTCTTAGCATTATCCAAAGACATATTGCAGTTTCTATCCACTTCGTCTAAGAATGACAGTAATTGGCTAAAAAGTTTTATTTTGTAATAAAGGCGCATTAATTTAAGATTTAATTAAGTTTTATTCTGTTAATAAAGTTACAGTTAGTGACATGTCTAGAAAGGATATTTTTGATACAAATTTAATGAATCCAGATACATAGTAACATAAGCAGATAATTAAATTTAAAAAATATAAAGTAAGGACATTTTAGCCTCATTTAAGGTTTTAACAATGCATTACAACTGCTCTTCCAGATAATCAATTATCACTTATCAGTCTATGATAATCCTAAGTTCTTTCCCACTATGGTTTATCAATTGATTATATCTGTTACCTACTATTATGATAAGTCTTATGATAACCTACAGGTCGGTGGTGTGGTGGCCAATGACTCGACAAGCTAAAGCTATTTAATACGGTAATCAAAGGCAAGTATGCCTGACTCAGCAATCCTAGTAGTCATGCTGAACCTGACACCACTAGACATATTCATTCAAGGTGACGCCAGGTTCGTCAGATATAGACCTTCATAGGTCCATCACACATGAACAATCTACCTGGGCGTAATTACTACACGCTATATAAAGAGTTGGAGAATAAACAAATAATGAGAATGCCTTCACATACAATGCGTCCATAATACAGCTTTCAATAACAATATAAAGCAAGTATATAAGACGAGGACACCCTATTATTTATGCATCAATCACCTGGTATACAGACGGTTCTAAAACTCATAAAGGATCAGAAGTATGTAAGACAAGAACCTTACTGATCTAAGGTAGAGGTAAACATGCGACATTATTTCAGGCAGAAAAAGCCGAAATACATAACCGTACGGATGAGATATTAAGACATAAAATAAATGGGGAAACCATTGTCATATAGGTATTCAGACAGTCAGATAACGTTAAAAGCAGTCAGTTCCATGTAAGTACTCTCAAAATTTGTGTGGAACTATTTAGAAGCCCTAAGAGAGCTGTGTTGTTAAAATATACTAACAGCAGAGGTACTAGGCCACAGAGGATATAAGAGCAACGAAGCTCATTTACTAGCCCAAGATGTATCTTCAAAGTCTTTTATTGTTTTAGAATCCTTCTGTAGTGTCACAAAAACCATTATCAGAACTTGCAGAAACCAGGCTAAAGATTTTTTGAATGGACCATCGCCAAAACTTACCAAGCATCTACTTAAACAGAATAGGAAAATTACTAAAGTGCACTAGTAGGCCTATTAACAGGGGATTAGGCATACTAACAGGGGAGGGTCTACATAGATCACAATCGCAACCAAATCTACATACTATTATAAACAGGACTTTCGATTCGTTAAGGTACGTTTACATCTGACATTTATTGCATAAGATTTATGTGTGATAGTTGTTTAGTCCAGTGTAAACACTCAAACATATATCTCCGAGAAAATTTTTTGTATCATATCGCCAAATAGTGTTTATATCGTCTGTACTTCATTCTATATCGATGGTTGTAATGTTTTATTTAAAAATTAATTTGAGATATGTCTTGTTCGTTAAACAAAATCAATTTGATCTGTTTCTATATTTAAATTAGGCACATTATTATGATAAACTTAAATATTTAATGTTTAATTCTTTAATTCCTTACCTATAATTTGCAGAGTTTACTCTCGGTGTTTCTGAGTTCCTATCGGAAAAACCTTCTTTAAAATTAACCAACTCGTCTCTTTGCCTGCTTGATTCAGATCTATGGGTATCATTTATGGTAACCGTTTCGTAAATACTTCTTCCACTGCAGTACTCTTTTTCCGAATGGTCAGATTCCCTTAACGTATCAATTTCCTTTTCTTCCAGACTCATATCAACCATTTTCTTAACAGTAGCCATTTTCTGATCTAGTAATAAAACACCTATATATATATACATATATTTGTCAGAAGGGAGGAGATGTTTAAAAGGTTTATCGTTGTACTAACAAAATGGCACCCCTAGCCAGAGCTTATTTCATATTATAGTCTAAAGAAGAAAGGAGTGCAGTAATTTAATTTGTAGAACGTAGTACAGCTTAGAGAGGTAGACATTTTATTTATACCTTATCCTTAAATGCTTATTTGTAGTTAAAATTAAAATTTTAATACATCTGATCGGCCTAATAAAAGTTTTTGTTTAGATCAAATCATATTTCCATGGTTTTTACTATAATAAACATTTTCTTTGGACAGATAAGTCAGACTTTCTTTATTCATAGCCGTATCGTATATATTTTGATTGATACGAAATTTTGTATTAGTATATTTTTACATTTATATAAGAATAGCGAGAGCATTAGAAAATATTCCAAGCACAAATACGAGTAAACGACATAATGGACATAAAGCATTATCTAGATTGTACCTAACAGCTATATGTCTATAAATTTTGGCTTCACTTCTATTACTTTTTTGAATGCAGCATGATTTTTAAAAATTTCTAGTTTTCGGCAAACAAAAAAAATTGCTAAATCCCCGATTATATAAAGACTACAAGACACATAAAATATTTTATCTTTTAGAACCACCTAGGTGACTTCTATACGTCGTTAATTAATTTCAGTTTTCCAATGAAATACCCTATATATTAAACAAATTAATAGATTTACTTACGTGATTTTTTATCCTCCTCTTCCAGCGCTTCCAAAATGGAGGCAATATCTTCAAAGCTTCCGCTTAAATTTGAATGCTTGTCAGCTTCGCTTACTCCTAAACCCTCATCAATATCTCTCAAATCTTTAGTCTCGAATTCATCTAAAGACTGTAATATTTCTAAATAACTGTTTGTTTTTTGGCCGCAGTCTCTCGGTGTTGCAGATTTAGCCATCCATGACTCGACATCAATATCTTTTACTTCTTGATCGCCTTCATCTTTTTTTGGAGGCGGAAACTTTGGCTTGGGTTTAATTAAAGGCTTTTTTGATTTTTGTTTCGTATTTTTCTGATGCGTGTGATGTTCTTGGGGGTTTTTAACTTTGCTTGCATCTTTCTTAAAGTAATCATCCGATTTCGAAAAATTTTTTTCGTCAAATAATTTGTCTATGTCTATTTCTGATATACCAGGAAGATTGTCGTTGGATTGCCAAGGTGCAATACCTTTTTCTACTATCTTAGAATTATCGGTAAGGTTCCTTTCGATAATTCCTTGTTCTTCTTTTAATTCTTGGAAATATTTATCGTTTTGGTAGTCCTTTTCAAGAACGTCTACTTCTTCTGATATTTTTATAACAGGGATATTGTCAAATTTTGGCGACTTTGCTTGATTGGCATAACTTGGTTCAACAGGTGAACTTTGTTGCGTATTTTGAGGTAAATCGCTATCTGCTTTAAAATTCAGATTATACTGAGATTCAACTTTAAAATTAGAATCGCTGCTTTTCATTTTTTCTAGTTTTTTATTTAAAGCCAACCTTTCAAAGTAGTTACTATCTATTTTAACATCGTTGATGTCTTTTTTAGCAGTTTCAGCCTCGTACTTTAAACTTAAATAGGCAGTGATAGCATCCATGCCTTTATCGCCATTGGTGCCTGAATCAGAATAATTTCTGTATGAGCTGTCAGGTCTTTTGGGAAGAGGTGGCTTGGATATAATCCCAGGAAGCATGTTTAAATGTTCATGAAAGTGTGTGGTTACAATAACTTCTGGAAAACAAAACAAATTTTTTAGTAGATACCTATTATTCTAATTTTTATATATACCTTCCTTTCCTTCTTCAAGTTTTTTTGGTTCATGTTCATCAGAAGATATAGAAGTATGTTCTTCGCAAGTATTGTCTTTACTTAATACGCTATATCTTGCCAAATCTGTATTATCGGTAGATTCGAGAAAGTGCAGTCGTTTGGTAGTTTTCCATGAATCTATTGGTTCTTTCAACATATTTTTTAAGATAAATGAAGAGGGAAGAATATCGTCTAAAGTAAATCATTACAATTAAACCAATCGTTTACAAATTGTTAAGCGCGTCATCTTATAAATGAAATACTAACTTGGTATTAAAACAAATGAAGGGGAGGCTGTCACGTGGAGGGGATAAAAGTGGAAGTAGAATTTTTATATCATTGAATAAAATAAAAATTGATGTGTATCAACGTTTTTAATCTTTGTTTCAAAGAAAGTTTATGGGGAGGGAGGTGAGGCTTAATCTTCTAAGTTTATAACCCGATGGGTAGGGTCTGGAGATTTTCATGAGTAATTAGAAAAACGGTTGAGTAACCCTAAATAGAAAAAAATAAAAGTATTTTTTAGGTTTCACCAAATATTAAAAAAAAAATTTTTTTTTGAAAATTAATGTAGTAACATATTACGTTTCTTTTAAAATTTAATATTAATAATAATTACTACCAAACATTATTAAATTACCTTCTAAGGCCTCAGAACTTCCTCCAAAATAACTTTTTGAAAAATATTGTGATCTTTTTGGAATATATCCAGCCGAAAATGGTCTTTTATCCAAAATTTCATTATCAGGTGTTTCCTAGAAAAATAAAAATAAAAGTTTTCATTAAACTATTTTGAACAAACTTTAAAATGATGTTTCCCAAAAACGCCACCCAAAATCACCAATGCTTTTACACGGGTAGGGTCCGATTACAATTAGAAGAACACCATTACTTCGAATTTCGAATACATATTATCTATAACTATCAATAAATAACAAATAAGTAAGTTGTTAGGTAAAAGACAATATTTCCTATACTCCTATAATATTACCACTCCACTAAACCCTCAGTAGGCGACGATAACCAATTAATTACTTTTGCCAAATGATGACGTAACTGTGTTCTTCTAATTGTAATCGGATCCTACCTGGACATTCATAGCTCTAAATCTTTATGTAGTCACATGAATCCAACTGTTTATTAGGCGTTTTATTTTATATGATATATTTGATAATCTAGTAAAGAATGAAAAAAAAAAACTTTGTATATTTATTATTTTTCTATTTTAATAACAAAAACCTGATGTGTCCAACACATGACTTTCCTGTCTAGTTTCTACAAGCTTTCTAAGATTCATAGACGTCTTCACGAGACCAGAACTTTAAAAGTAGACCACCGAGCTAAAGGAGTCTATCAAACAGTAAGAACACCGAAACTTGAAGAAAGAATTTAACATGAAATTGAGGCGAACCCCGAAAATCACGGCATCATTTAATGTTTCACGTGTAGTTCTTTGAAAAATTCTCATCAAAAATTTTGTTATACCCATGTTATGTTATGTAATGTTGGGAATGGGGTGTTAATGCACTAAGGAAATGTCTTAATGCCTATAACGACCCTTCCAATCCTATTTTCTTAAGGAAATGTAGGATTTGAAGTGGCTTCAAGTTAGGTAAATCTCTCTCTTCTATTTGATATCCTCCTAGATTCTGAAGTGCTACAAATTCAGTTAGGATGTAAATGGAGATTTCGTCCTCCTCCTCACAGAATCTGCACTCACTATCCTCTACTACTCCCAGTTTACTTAGGTGTCCTTTTAATCGGCAATGCCCGGTAAGGATCCCTGTCACAATACGTAGCCTGTTCTTGCTCAGGCAGATGCAGGCTTCCGATCTTTTCTGGTTATGTTTACCCAGAAATATCTTGGCCTGTCTCAGCTCCAACAGATTGTTTTAATTCTCGGTTCTTCTACTGCCTAATTCTTTTTTAATCTTTTCTAATATTATGTTACTGCTGATACCGCAGAACGGCTCAGGTTCTACAAAGGGTGTTTGAGCCCCTTTCCTTGCAAGACTATCTGCAATCTCGTTACCCTGTACCCCGTTATGTCCCGGGACCCAAGTGAAAGTAACTCTATTTTTCTCGCCTAGCTCCGTTAATTGACAGCCACGTTCTTTTTACCGTTAAAGCAATATTTTTTCGAAACTCAATAATACATTTCTATAATAACCACTTATGGGTAGATGAAAATGATTATGCAATTTTTTTCTCTCAAGAAGACTTTTGATGGACAATTATATTTACACTTTTTTGAAGATCCGCAGCCAATGCTTAAATACCTTCCTGTTTTATTAAGAAACCATATGTGGCTAATGCACGATATTGCGTCTCCACATTTTAGCTTACGAGTGCGTGAATTTTTTAATCACACCTATCGCGGAGGAACGCATTTATTGCCGCCTAGATCTCCCGTACCTTAATAGCTTAAACCACTTTTTCTGGGATCATATGAAAAGCCTAATGTGCCGATTCGAATCGAAGAAGAGTTACGAAATCGAATAATGGTATGGTGCCAAACCATAAGAAACAGCCCAAGGAATTCTCGAGCTGTGTGAATTGTTCACTCGTTGGATAATTCACATGAAATTTGCACAAATCGTATTCTTAGCAAATCGATGAGTGTTTAGTTCACATAAAAGATTGTGTGACATGTTCACATGGGTTTTATCAAGTGGATGTTGGATATTTCGTATGAAAACAGTCTTTTAAGGTTATGTCGTCTGTCGAGTCTTCTGTCACTTATTAGTTATTATTGTTATTAGTGTGGTTGTCTTTTTGTTTAAATATAGTTTTATAAGGTGTAACAGGTGTAATTTGAAGCAAAATAGCCAAGTTTTGATTTGTAATTGAGGCAGGAGCTGGAAAAAGGGCACATAGAGCTGAAAGTGATTTTGAGATATCCCCGTCCAAAGTTTGTGTTGTTATATTTGATGACAGCAGATGCCATCACAAAATATTTGATAACTCCGTCATGTTTCAAAATATCGATATTAAATTTTTAGTGAATGTTACTAAGATATCAGAGACGTCAAAATAGTGTTCTACGCAAAAAAGTCATATAAGGCCATGGGCCCTTTTTTTCTAGCTACCGCCTCAATTGTTGGAGAGTTGAATTTTTAATAAAAATCCAAACAAACATTTAAATAAAATAGTTCAAGACATGGAAGAAGATAAGCTTGCCGTTCTTTTGGCAATAAATGAATTGCAAGAGTTAGAAGATGATCTTTAGAATCCTCGAAGATTTTTAAGACGAGAGAAGCAATTTGATAAACTATTTTCACTCATTTCAAACGATTTGGTTCTATATTTCGCTTTAAAACTTTTTATTTCAATTATTGTAAACAAAACCTTACGTGAATGCGAATGCAAAAATTTCTACAAAAAAGCTCAAAAGTGACATAAAATGTAGACAAAATACCATATACATTTGGCAACATGGGTCTAAATGAACTTGAATTCACTTTCCCCAAGAATCCAGCGGTTATTCACTTCACATGTCTATTCCATCGAAATTCGTGTGAAGTCGAGAATAGAAGCCCTGGAGTCTTTGAAATGTGCGTCAGTCTATGCGAAGAAGAGTAGGTGCTTGTATAAGTGTGGGTGGAGGACACTTCTAAAAATTACTGTAAATAATTTGGGTCCTTTATTTTGTTTAAATTTTACATATTAAAGGCTTATGAGGATCATTAAGTGATCGTTTTTGTAAACTTATTCATTAGAATTTAGAATTATATCTGTTATGCTCTATCAATACAAATTAGTGGAGTGTTGCCAAGTGTCCAACTAAAATCAACAAAAAGAAATATAAGAAAATACATTCTTTTTGCCATAACATTTCCGTACTCTAAAAATCATTTTTATTAATTTATTTCCGGTCACAACCGATGATTTATTTATCTATTTTAATTGAATTGTTGTAATACATTATTTTTAAATATTAATATTACGTCATCTATAAAATAATAAACAATACTTTTCGTAAACTTTGAAACATAATTACTTTAAGGTATTTTCCGCGGCATAAACCAACATGAACGTTTATGATAGATTATGTTATTTGGAATAATCAGACATGTCTAAATAACATAATCTATCATAGACGTTCATGTTGGTTTATGACGCGAAAAATACCTTTCTGTGTTATCCAAAAGTTTTTAAAACTTTTGAACGAAGTGCATTTATTTATTTATTAGTCGAAATTTACATACAGAGTGTACAAAAAGTAACTTAACATACTAATATTTAGATTCCTGATAGGTTTACAAAACAGTTTTGAATAAAATTTTATAAATTAAATCAAGTTAATAAGAACTATACTAAGTTTACCATTACTCCAAAATTACGCAAGAATATATTTTTTTAATAATTTTTCGTACTATATTAAATTTAAAATAAAACTCTTAAAACTGCAATGTGCTAACTTAATTTGCTTGAAAAATCCTTGCGTTATTTTGGAATAATAATGTGCCTGGTACATACTGATAACTTGATTTATTTGATAAATTTTTTATCCAAAACGCTTATTATAAACCTATCAGAATTCAAAACAATAAAAAGTTCTCTGACACACTTACATCATAAAAGCACGCCTCACTCGTCCCACGTACCTACTAACCGCTACAGATGCAAGCGTGCCCACACGGCCGACGTTCGCGCGAATTTCAAAATGTCGGCAGAGCTCGGCCTCGGTCCTGCGCACTCTTGTTGCACCTTCAACCTAATAGCACTGAACGCTCGTCCCACCCACATTCTAAGCACTACAGAAGCAAGCGAACGAAGTGAGCGCGCCCGGCTGAGTCTCGAAATTCGCGGGAATTTCGAAACGTCGGCCCTGCGCGCTCTTTTTCCATCTACACCATAAGAGCACACTACCCTCGTTCCTATCTACTACAGAAGATAAAGTGGTATTCTAGTAACACACTATATGCGCATCCGACCCGTGAATATACAACAAGAATACGAAGCAACGACTTCTCGTAGGGTGGCGCTTCGCCGTCATCAGAAAGTACCAACCCATACCTGGGTACCTATCCTCGACTAATGCGTTTAAATGATCGCTTTGAAGAAATGCGAGTGGTTCAATGCAAAGACGTATTAGAAATTGTATTCTGGACCCTTCGTATCTGTGTCTTCGTAATCCTCTTTTATAAATGCGAATGGCAACTTGGCAACCATGTATGATAAAGTTCACACCGCTTGTTTTGTGACAATTATTCGTAAAAAAGAAGAAATAGTAATATTAGTAATGGTTTTGAGCATAAAGTCGTGGTTTTGGGTTATGTCTTTTGATCTACTGTTTGGCTATACATAGTTTGCAGCGTTATAAAATGGAAAATATTAGTAAAAAGACACATAGGTATAAATAATTATAATAAACGGAAACAACTTGATAAACGCCTGATCAGAAAGTCTGAAAGGATCTTTCCTATCATCATAAACTCGAGAATGATTATTGGCCTCTTTTAATTCGTTTAGTAATAAGATAAATAAAAAATTTCTATTTGCCATCTTACCTATAGATCACGATCAATTTATGAAACAAAACGAAAATACTTTGAAATACCAAAACGTGCATCCAGTTAGACCTTCGACAGCTCTTTGGACCTTCGTATTTGAATGCGAAGAGCAAAGACCCACTCGCTACCAAATGCGTACCCGCAATATAAATTCGAACGACCAAGAATAGCTACAACATGCATTTAAGCAAATACGCATTCGCATTTAGTAAAGCACCAGTCGAGGATAGGTGCCCTGGCTACGCCGACCGGCATGGACTCCACAGCCTAGACAACTCAAATTGAAATAACCCATTAAATTCCCGTATTACCATCTGCTCATGCGTAAGCTAAGCATGGAATATTTTAGATGTAAAAAGGGTGTATTGGTTTCGCTTGCTCTCTCCTGTACTTGTCGAAACGTTGGCCGGGCGCACTTGCTTCGCTCGCTTTCGTCTGTAATGGTTAGGAAGTGGATGTATGTATAAAAAAGCCGCGTCCGGGCGCGTTCACTTCGCTCGCTTGTGTAGTGGTTAGGAAGTGGGTGGAACGAGCTTTTAGTGCTATTAGGGTGTAGGTGTAACAAGAGTGCGCAGGGCCGAGCACGGCTGACGTTTTGAAATTCGAGCGAATTTCGAAACGTCGGCCGGGCGGGCTCGCTTGCAATTGTAGCCGTTAACAGGTGGGTGGGACGAGCGAAGCGTGCTCTTACGGTGTAGGTGTAAAAAGAGCACAGGCGAATTTCGAAACATCAAACCTTAAACGCCCGCTTCTAAAGTAGTTAGGATGTGCGAGGACGAGCGTGCTTTTATGGTGTAAGTGTGTCAGGGAACTTTTAATTTTTTTGAATTCTGAGGTTTATAAATCAAATTATCAGTATGTCAGAAATATGTCAGGCACACTATTATTCCAAACTAACGGAAGGATTTATCAAGACAATAAAGTTAGCACATTGCAGTTTTAACAGTTTTATTTTAAATTTAAAAAATATATTATTGCGTAATTTTGGAGTAATGGTCAATCCAGTATATCTCTTGATGATTTAATTCATAAAATTTTATTTAAAACTGTTTTGTAAACCAATCAGGACTCTAAATATTAGTATGTTAAATTACTTTTTGTACACTTTGTATATAAATTTCGACTAATAAATAAATAAATTCACTTTGTTCAAAAGTTTTAAAAACTTTTGGATAATACAGAAAAGTATTTTTTGCGGCTAAACCAACATGAACGTTTATGATAGATTATGTCATTCAGACATGTCTGATTGGTCTAAATAACATAATCTATCATAAACGTTCATGTTGGTTTATGCCGCGAAAAATACCTTAAAGTAATTATGTTTCAAAGTTTTCGAAAAGTATTGTTTATTATTTTATAGATGACGTAATATTGATATTTAAAAATAATTATTACAACAATTCAATCAAAATAAATAAATCATCGGGTGTGACCCGAAATAAATTATTAGAACTGATTATTAAAGAATATGGAAATATTATGGCAAAAATAAGATATTTATTTTTCGTTGATTTTAGTTGGACACTTGGCAACACCGCACTGATTTGTATTGACAGAGCATGACATATATAATTTTAAATTTTAAAGAATAAGTTTACACAAATGGTCACCTAATGATCCTCATAAGCCTTTAATATGTAAAATTAAAAAAAAAAACGTTAATTTATGGGGTTTCCGGTGGCATATTTCAAAAATACTCTCCTTCCCAAAGACTAAAATGTAAGTTTTGTAAAAAATACGTATTTTTAAGAAAAGGGCGTCTTCGCAGTAATTACCGAAACGTTTATTTAACATAATATAGGAGGGTCTATATGACAATAATACGTTAAATAGTTTTAAAGTACTGGACATAAATAATTTTTAAATTTTTAAACAAAACACCCTGTAACTCAGAATGTATACACATTTTATCTAGGTGATTTGGGTTAAATCCTCATAATTTGAGTTCAGGATTCTATAGTTGAAATATTTCCAATAAGTAATGAATCACCCTGTATACAGCTAAAATACAATATAATTACTTACCCTGTCATTTAAATTTAATGAAGGAATAGTAGAAGCAGGTCTCAGATACTTCTTTGTTAGTAGCAAACACTTTGAACTAGCAGTACTGTAGTTATTTCTACACCTCGACTCCAAGTTAATCTAAAAACGTTAAATATTGTGTTATTATTATTATTACAACGCATCGTGGAATTATGAATTAAAATCAATATTCATTTCTATAGTTACATACCTTATCACCACTCAATCTCAAGTCTATCTTCTTATTTTCTACCGGTTTTGACATAGTTCTACAGATGTATAAATTTTACGAATAATCTTTCTACTTCTAAATGACATATTTGTTGTAAGAGAAGTTTGTTACCATGACAACGAATCATAGGTGGCTATAATGTTAAAAACCCTCTTGCTAACCCTAGTATCTAAACTCACTGAAGCGTTTAATTAATGATTCAAATATCTTGATCAAATATACAGTGCTGCTCGTTATTATTATTTCAACTTTTAGTTTCCCTACTTTACCAAATTGTTATTGGAACATTTAAAATACCTAAGAAATGTTGTTTAATTAATTGTGTATTACCCAATTTATTGAATACAAAAACTTTTAAACAGTTTTAAATTTTTTTAGAAGGTACAGATCTTACAAATTTAAAATAGTATATTATGCAACGATCATGTAATGATGGTTATTAATACACGAGCATTAACCGGGATACGAAACGAGCCGTATGGTTTATGCGAGTGTTTTAATAACCATTACATGAGAGTTGCATACGCTATTTTTTCTACACCCGATAAATAATCAAGACCTATAAATATTCTATTTATATTGGCATTGAACACAATAACAGTAATTACTCGTATTTCTATAAAAAATTCTACAAAATTGTAATTAATGGTATTACCTTGGGTATTGGTATTACCACAGATTTTTGGGGCAAAATATTTTGTACTGCATTTTCTCCTTTCTCCGATATGTGTGGAGGAGTCTTCTATATCGCTGATATCAGACATTTTAATATTATAATTATCGAAGTTTAGCTATCTACGAAAATTTAATACGTTTTGACAACTAAAACAATTACATAGGAATTTAGGACAAACGTCAAACATCATGCTTGATTGAAAAATTGTAGGTTTCTATTGATTAAAAATCTGTATCATAATGAAAAATCTGTATCATAATGGGTATCATTATGAAACGGATTATGGGCATATAAGTGCATTATTATAATACGGGTGTAGAAAAAGATTCTATTTTACAATATTCTTGAATAAAATATTTTTTTTATTATTTTGATATTGTGTGATCCTGCATCTTCATGAAGAATTAAAAACTTTTGTCAATTATTTTTATTATGAAAATATCCTGCTCATTGAAAAAAAAAATCCACATATTATAATAGTTGTGTAGCATTTTAAAATACTCACGTTCTCTCATCTTGAAATTGGTTTTTGCATTTTCTAACTTTGACTAATCTCAGTGGCAGCTCGTGGTCTTGTCTAAGGAGGTTACTGGAAAGCTGTAGCTGGGATTGCCAACTGTCCATTTTTAAAATAAATTGTTCTTGTGACTTTTTAAAGGTTAAAATCTCTTATCCCCTGTCGGCACCGTTAGTCCTTTATTCACTGTTGTTTTTAAAAAGGTGGCAACCCTAGCTATAGCCCTACGCCCCTACATACAAGCCACTAACCACAGACTAATCTCTATATTTATTTTTAATAAAAATAGTATGGGTAGATAAAATATTACAATTTCATTTTTTATTTACATAAGTGTATTTTCCTTATACGGGGGGATGTGGCCCTACAGCCCTTACAGACAAGCCACCACTGTCTAATCTGTAAGACAAATTTTATTTTTTAACATTAAAGTAACATTTGGATGAATAATAAGTTTATTAATATCTCAACTGTGGTATATTCACAAAGGACAAAGGTAAACACACTTCCTGGTTCAGTGGCGTATCATTTCTCTGTAACTTTTTAATTGTAAAAAAATCTGATTCAGAAAATAAAACAAAATCACTGTAAAGGTCTAATTTTTTCAACTAAAGAATAAAACCACAAAATCAATACATCATGTTAATTATAAATAAATACAGGAGCGACTAGTTTTGGCTTCAGAGGGCCATCTTCAGGTCTGTAATATAATAATCCTTAATTATTATAATAGGAATAATATAGAAGTAGGTTGGTCACTTACGATTAAAATTAAATAGTTGACAATATGTATAAATCACTGAAATGGATCCATATTGTAGAATTAAAGATGTGGAAAAGGAAAAATAGATGAGCATTGCAAAAGTAGAAACCTGAGTAAAAAATCTACGAGAGTAGAAGTGAGAATGAGCAATTTCGAATGCATTTAAATTGCTCGGGATAACAAATATGGCTGATAATGTAAATTGGTGGTATGTGGATAGTCTCTGTCAAAGAAGGACCGGATATGTGAAAGAACTATGCTGTTCCTCTGTAAATCTTGAGAATGTAAGGATGGAGGAAAGATGATTATTCTTTCTGGCTCAGGTGTAGATAGGCTAGAAGAAGGAGAGCGTAGATGAAAGATCCAGGAAATATTGTTATTTTAGTCTAGCTTCGAAATCATTTTTCAAAAGGAAATAAAAGTATTCATTTATGAAAGCATATAATAATAAAACAACGTGAATTCATTATGTTTAATGAGCTAATAAACGTTTGTTTTGATGAAAACCAGTTATTTGTGTACCAAGGCCATAAAGTTGATCTTCTTTGGCCAAAAATTAACATGTGTCAGAAAGTGTCAAAACTGGCGCTGTCAAACTTGGTAACGCTGATTGAATAAGCCAATTATAGGAGAGGGATTTCCTTCCACGAGAAGAGTAGATGTTAATTACAAAATTTAGCGTGGGGAAGAGGGGAGAGCTCAGAGATGAAAAGTGCTTTCATATGAATGTCAAAATTCAAAAAATGCGATGTTCTATTATTCTTTCTTTTACACAGTAATGACAGGCATATGATAGGTTCTAATATAGCAACAATGTGGACCTTGTAATTTGACAGGATCAATCATATAGATAGTTATATAGATTGATCCTTCATGTTTTTAAAAATAAACATAAGCTTGTGTCCTGAAGTAAAAATGTAGGTAATTATTTTTATTTTACTATTTAAATTCTGGAAATTGGTTTAAAATACATTTTTGCTAAACTGATTCAAATTATTGAACACTAGCCTGGCAAACGACCCGCATATATGTATCATTGAACCTGTCAATGAAAACAGGCCCACAGGGTTGTCATATTTAAACTGTCAGTTCACATTGGCATCATTTTGACAGGTCATTGAAATCCCTAATACGCTATTAGCACAGTCCGTACCTGTATTAAAAACTGTCAACTAAATAAAATTTTTAAAAATGTCAATTCAAACGTAAAGTATTTCTAAATCAGTCGTGACCAAAGGTTAAAACCAAAAAAATATATCATGGAAAAATCAGAACAATTAGAAAAGTATGAAATCAATGAACTTGAAGCATGGAAGCTGATGATGGACAGTATGGTAAAATTTATAGAAGCATCTACCAAAGTTATGAATACCTTCACTGAGAAAGCAAATTCTCATTTGAAACTACCTATAATTTCGAGCTGTGAAATACAGTCGATGCTTGGACCTGCACTTTCGGCTTTAGATTATCGTAGAAATGAATTTACCAAATCTTCCAGGCCCGTATCTGCTCCTGAGAGAGAGAATCTTAAAAAAGTTGGTGACAGTGATTACGAACAAGAAGGTAATTTTAATTGTATTTTAAATAATTAACAAAACTACAATTAAAATTTATAGTGGAGAAAACATCAGTTATCATGAACTCAACAGTTAAATGTGTGTATTTTTAAAATACCCCATAGTTTCCTTCTGGAAATGGTACTCGGTTGAAATGTCTATAGTTTTAATATAATATTCGAAACAAAAGCGTCCACCGGCCCAACTCATAGGAAGTATACCTAGTTTTTGATAAACAATGTGTTGATCTTGAAAAGATTCCACAATTTCCTTATGGCAAATGGTTTTTACTTAAATCTGCTGAATTTTAAACCGACTTCAAAAAGAGGAGGAGGTTCTCAATATTTTTTTTATGTATATTCAACGATAATTCTTTATTAAGTTGTCCGATTTATATGATTCGGTTTTTTAAAATTACTTCTATTGTTCTTAATAAATTTTATCACTGAGTGTATTACCTGGGAGGGAAAAGGAATGAATATGTTATAGAGGTTAATCGTCGCATTAACTAAATGCCAAAAACAAGGCAGAGCAAAGTAGCAGTGGGAATAGAAATATTAATATATTTATATATTTGTTCTATGACAAATTATAAGTCTGCTTATTTTGTAGTTATTTAGTAGTTACTTATATTGTTAACTAATGTATATAGTGTGCAAATCAGAAAATAGAAAGGTCGTCAAACTTAGTCTTAAATTTTGTAAAATATAAATTGCAATCTCTACAGATCTACCTATTTCACCAACAGATCATGTGAAAATAATTTGAGTAACTGTATATTTGAGACAGAAACCGAAACCGAGCCAGAAAAGACAACGGAAGATCTGAGACCGAAAACGCTGACAATTCTAAAATTGAAAATTTAAGATCTGCTACGAAGTCCTAATAAAAGAAAATTTAACTAAGACTTCATTTAATTATATTAAGTTATCCTTAACCTATTCAAAAAGCATTGTCCTGAGAAAACGCAACATACTGGATAGAAGCGATGGAAGAAGAATTAAGAGATCATCAGGAAAATAATACACGGACTCTTTCTGAATACCTACTAAATAAAAAACCAGGAAAAATGAATAAGTTTTCACAACAAAGCTAACTAAAGAAATAGAGTAATACAAAGCACGTTTTGTTGCAAAAGGGTACTCGCAGACATAGGAGAAACATATTCCCCAATTGTCAGAAGTGTTATTAGTCTTATCCGTGTAATTTTGGCTGGCAAGTTAACCAAATGGGCGTTGTTACTGCTTTTCTTCAACCAAAAATAAAGGAAGAAATGTATATGGAACTGCCTGGTGGTCAGATAAAATATAAAAGCTAAATTAAGTTTTATGTGGGCGAACAGAGCATGGAATCAAGAATTAGATTGTGCCATGAAAAATAATATAAATTTTAAGCAATCTATATATAAGCCTTGTGTATATTTTTGGAGGTTTTTTATAGACAATATATTTATAGACGATAGGAGCAAAAAAATGTATTAAAAAGAAAAACTATCAAAGATGTTCCAGATGAAAGATTTAGGTGAAATTCATTAGTGTTTTATCAGTGCATATTTTTTTACTTCGACAAAATGAACCAAAACAAATATTAATAAATATAATGATGTTATTTTGCATCACGATTTGACCAAATGCTTAGGGAGGAACTTATATGTTCAACTTGAATGGAAAGTGCATATTTAAAAAAAATCTTAAAGAACTTGAACCTTAATTCATAAATTCAGAAAAATGTATTGGCGCCTAGGAAAAAATCCAAGTTGTCAGTGTACAACAAACAGCTGATTTATAAACAAACGCTAAAATCAATTTGTATTTATATTATACAGCTATGGGGATGTGTCAACAAGAGAAATATCAACATGATGTAAGTTTTCCAAAATAAAGTCCTAAGTTATATAGAAACGATCATCTTTATAGAGACCTGAAGATGCCAACAGTCTAAGAAGAAATGAGGGGTGGGCTCTACTCTTATATCAACGAAGAAGCGCTGTAATTACTGGACAAGTCTACACTCAACAGATGGCTCAAAAGAAAGAAGCTTTTTGAGCTATTGCAGTGAACTTTAATGTTTGTGCCAGTGTAAAACAGTGTCACGCTAACTTGTGATGCTTTCCTATAGAAACAATTAAGGCAGCCCAATAAAGACGTCTTAGATAAGTTATTAGAATGCAAGATGTTTAGATTAAAATTGTATGTCAGTCAATAATGACTAGTAACAATAATCAAACATTATTATCTAGGTATTAAAATACATAGAGAATTAAGCTGGTACCATCACTATAGATCAAGAAAAAAATAATTTCAGAAAAACCAGCTTTGGATTGATGAATTGCCATGGGTTGCAGTCACAAACTAACTAAAGTAAATTTTCATTATCAGAAAGCCATAGGAAGCACAGTATGCACAGTGTGCTCGTCTTGATATTTGTTTCGCCTTGGAAAAGCTGGTCAGATTTAGCCAGAATCCTATCAAAGAACAACAGACTATTCCATTACCTCAGAAAAACTTCTGAGTGAATATAAAAGAAAAATTATGTTGTTTTGCATGAATATAACGACTCTGATTGGGCAGGTGATTTAGAAGACAGGACATTAACAACACTTGTCCTCAGTACAAGAGCAATAAGTTAAATGTCAAAAAAGATGCCTATAGTGGCATTATCTATCTACTGCTGAAGCTGAATACATGAGTGTCTTATAAATTCAAGGCAAGTAACTATATTTCTAAAAATGTCAGTTTAAAAATCCTCCCAATGTCATAGAAATTTAAGTTCCGTAACATTGGCAGGAAATCGGATTGAGTTCCTTGTTACTCGGAAACATTCTAAAGTGCTATTGTCAAAATAAAATAAAACACCGAAACGATATAGTGAAGTTTATCGATAAAGTTGTCACAGGATTTATCTATCAACATAATTAATTAAAAGAAAGATAGTACGTATTTACGAGACGCTATACACTATTTTACCATATACCCTGTATACCATAATCTATCCCAAACAAGTACAAAGTCACGTACAGGGACTGTGAAATGTTGAAATATTCTTAAATTGCTATTTCCTACAGGTCAGATAATAATCCTTCAAATAAAAATTATAATAATAATAATACTCTCCCTAATTCGCCCCCTTACAAGTGAATTTTAACCCCAAAAGCTGAGCTTGTGCGAGGAAAGGGGCGACTATTATTATTATTTGCCGTGGCGCTCCGGGGCGACTTAAAGGTGATTGATGGTGCCATTTGACTTACAGGTAAGGAAAACCTCTCCCACCATCATCGAGATGGTAATGCATGTCATATCAACAGAAATTGAATTTCTTATTAATACGACGCACATCAAATCCTCTACTGAACCATGCAATTTAATTAAAAATCCACATGGTCTGATCTAGGATTCGAAGACCGGCAGTCTCGGACCATAAACTTGCCTATAAATGAATATAAGCGCGTTAGACTGCTACACCACCGAATCAAATATGATTTTGATATAATAAAACAACAATCTTAAAAAGTTTATTTTCACAAGTTAGTTCATGGTCCGATGAGTAGTCGGTTGCAAGAAAGTTTATTAAAATTTACGTCTCTTATAAACTTTGACACCTGTTTAGACTGTGAGTAAATTAAAGTGCATATATCATTCAATCAGATCACATTCTCACGCCCTACCAAACTTGATCAAGCTCGTACAGTTTAATTAATATTTTTCCATACATTTATGGTCTAGATCTAGAATCTAGACCTAGACCAACTCGATTAAAGTTTTCTCATAGATTTACGTCTAGACAGGCACAAATAGCAATAAATGTGTCAATGTTTTTTTAAGGTAGAAGTGCTAATAACAGTAAATCTTCCCGCCCCTTAAAAGAAAGAGTTGGTAATGAAATTGAACCTGCGAATACTAAAAATGAAGAAATCCCAGAGGGCAATGATGGAGATAATACTAATAAATGTAGTATTATATTTGATAACATTTCCCCCACTGTCGAAGATGAAACAAAATTGATATCTGAAGACGAAACTCTTTCTGCACCTGAACATTTGGAAACGACCAAAGAAGATATTCAATTAAAAAGTAATATAACTATAAAATCTTAAATTATATTCAGATAAGAAAAAATTAGGTACAGTTTTACATATCTGACAGAATAATAAAATTATTTTTAGACTTATGCTGCCCAGTAGGCGAATTACAGAAGCAAACACAATATGGTAACTCAATTCTTCATATATCAGAAAAGTTACGGTATTGTCAACATTTTAACATATTATTTCAGATAAAAAAGAAGATCAAAAAATGTCTACAGAAAGTATGATACATCTAATGGCTGTGAAATTAGAAGAGGCTCAAAACGAAATCGACTATTTGAAGAATGAACTCATGAAAATTCAATCCTCCAAAAACATCAATATGTCGGCCGCCTTGTACAGAGATTACGATAAGGTAGTTATAATATTATTTTAACAAAAATTATATACCTATACAGTAGACTAACGTGAAAATTAACGAACATTTTTATATTTCGTACAGGGTATTTAACTATTTAAATGTGGCTATCTACATATGTGAAAAAAAAACTCATAGTCTGTGCCACATAACAATGGGGTTAAGCCACACCAAACTTTATAGATACACATATTTAAGTGGATCAGTCCCAATATACCAAATGAAGTTTCTCCATTTGTTCTACCGTTCAAGTTTGTTAATCTTCTTCCACCTGTTACTTCCACTTTGATATAAGTCCTTCGCATCCCTTTCCTCTTTCTGGGTTTAATTGTAATATTAAATGAAGTATCGTTTGCTTTACTGCTCGCCATACTTGTCTTAGTTTTTTGTTGTTATATTTATTTTATTATAAAGGAGTAGCTCTTATTATCTTTTGTTCTGTTATATTTAAATAATTTTGTTATCTTTTTTGACATATTTATTATTTCAGGGGCATATATATTGATCTATTTAATGTCTTTAATATTGTTTTTGAGTTATTTGTTATTAGCATATTCTTAGGAAGTTTTAATTCAATTATTTTTATATGTTTTAGGCACCTAAATCTCAGAATTCAACAAGAGTTGAAAATACTTATGACAACACCCAAAATATGTCTTCAAGAAATCCGACTGTTCCAGCAAGGTCGTTGATAAGTCCCACAGAGTCTTGTAGACAAAGTAATTTTCATTTATGCGTTCTTTTAAGATTGTGATAAAACATTTTTGCCTTTTTTATTACGTAATTGCTCTGTTTAATAGGTTCTGCAAAATTCCATCAATCCACAGTTACGCAGCGAAGAAGCGTTCCTCTTAGAATGAGACCTAAAATAACCACTAACGAAATGGGTGAGTAATTTCTTGATTAACAACTTTTAACAATTCTAATTTAATTTAATTTTTAGTATATTTAAGAAGCAATAATATGCAACAGAGGCGTAGGGTGCAGTCATCAACAGGTACAATTATTTTAAAAGCCAGTCATTTAGTGTTTAATAAGTTGTAGAGGTCATAGAAAGGGTACTTCTAGACTAGGAAGTATCTCATACTGATTTCCTTGACTTTTCTGCTCCAAATGTAAGAATACTAACTCTTGATAATCCTTGGCAATAGCACGTATACTGCAGTTTCCTTCTCTTCGTAGGTACAAAGCTCTTCTACCAGGCCGATTTTGTCCATATATTTTTAAGCTTACGATACCCTGTTAATAAGTTGTACCAAATCGGTAAAATCACTACTTGGGGCAATAAAGCTGTTAAAAGCTGATATTTAGTTGAATCATGTCGGATAGATATTAATTTGCATATACCAAGCCTCTGGACATTGAGTCCAAAAAGATTCTGAAGCCTTTCAGATGTATCCGCGAGAACATTAGTTTTGCTCAATTTACAAAGGAGAGATTTTACTTACAAATAAAGAACAAAAGATATCCAAATGACAAAATGTCTGAGCTTGTCCCCGAAATTCAATAGAAATGGGATGGTGGGTGCGGTATCTGCTAGCACCTGGGTAATGTCTGAGATAATCTTGTTTCCGGAATTCTCCAGAATGAGAAGAAGTGTGTGGTGTTTATTAATCACCAGGAAAAAATCAGGTCATGGTTCTCATGGCACACAATCATGCTTGACTTTGAATACCGTTTAGTTCTCGAATAACTCCAATTTACCGAGTCTTTGCTTACTATATTGCTACATCATCGATCCATATGCTTTATGACTCTAAAATGAAGCCTTAGTGACATAATTTGGTTATAATCTAGAGACTTCAAGATAAGTTGAAGGATTTTGTACTTTTTTAAGTAACCTTTTCTGGTGTTAATCACTTGTTTACCTATGGTCAAAGATAACACACAAGTATTTTGCCTCCTAGGCAAACGAAATCTCCAATTCTTTCAGAACTGGTGACTTAAGTCCTGTTAATATGTTTTGTTTTTTGAAGTTGACTGTTGCATGTCATCGTCATACCCTAGGTAATATAAATGTAAATATTAACCTTTTTATAAGTTCATTCATTAGGACTGACTAGAGGTGAGGTGATTTAGCAGTTAATATAGCTTTGCCTACAGATGATATCATGGTTGGTAACGATGATAGTGGTTATTGTCTGTAGTTCCAGGTTCAATGGTTGCCAGTTTAAACCGCACCATGGATAGCAAGGATTTTTATAATTAATTTTATTAAAATATAATTCGAAGGCATAGGTAAGATTCCGCCTCGACCATTGACTGTTGATTTCTAATTAACAAATTCTATATCCTATCTAACAAGCAATTATTTTTTAGGATATGAACAGCTACCAATTGAAATGTATGACCCAAGATATCAGCCATATCAAAGACAGATGTACCCTATCTATACCAGGCCATCGAGTCCTGAAACTGAACATTTTTTTAATACACAAAATTCTACCATAGATCCTGGATACAATTACCAAACAGGTTTGAAAGTTGTTTTATCTTTATCTTTGTTTTTATAAGCAGGTAAGGTTAGGTTAAGCCCTGGATACAGCGGCCTCTTAGGTTTATTGTATTACCATGCATTTTTCTTATTCAGGTACAATAGTTGAATAGTTCTTTATATTTGGTTAGTTTTATTAGGTTTCCAACCATGCGTTCCTGCTGCCCTTTCTAGACCGGTTTCAAAGATGGTACGCGGTTGTTCATCTTCCATGAAGGGACAAGCTGTGTAGTAATCTCACGATGGTGGATATTTGGTGCCTTGCGTGTTGTAGTACCTCAACAACCATGCATAAGTTTGGTCTTCTTAGCCAGAGCTTACTTATTGTGGGTCCTCTTAATAATTATTGCTAGTGATTTTGGTGTTTAGTGGTTATCCACCTGTTGACTATCTATCGAGCAGAGGTGTTACTTATCCCAAACACAGGTCCGGTTCCTGTTGATGGTAGTTCTGATCCCTCTATGGTTAGCTCATCAGTCTTTTCATTTTCTTCTAAACCAAGCATAAGGCTGCTTGGCTGTCTGAGAATTAAATTTGTTTTTTTTTGTCCAGTACTACTACTTGTTAAATTGGAAGTTTTCTGTCATCGTGTCATCGAGGTTGGATTCGAAATCTTTTATTTTAAATTAACAATTTGGATGTCTGAGACTTTTGTCCTGATGGCCGAATGCTTAAAGCAGTGTGCATAAAATAGGAATAGGTGGGTTCCAATTCACCTGTACATATAATTTTTTAAATTTTTATTTAAATTTGTTTTCACTTCAGGGTTCAAAATTGTCATTATTTCTTAAGGGTAATATTTTAATTTATTTGATGACTTCCAAATACCTTTGTTTTTAACCTATAACCGATTTTTCAATATTCTTATAATTTTTTGACGAATAGATATATTGCTGGCATCGGAAATAAGAAACTACTCTGGTTTATTATATATGGGGGCAAAATGTAATGTAACTTTTACCAAAAAAATAATGAAGTAAATTGAATTATTTGTATTTTTTTAATATTTCTTGCATTTTATTAAATTTCTCTTTAATACTCCATACCCAAATATACAAAATTTAGTCCAAGGGGAATGGGGCATATAATGTAATAAATATTTTATATTGTAGATATAGTAACTCGCTTCCCAAAAAAGTGTCTTTTTTTTATAGAATCCAAAAATGTAGCCATTCGAACTTTTTGTGCTGGTAGAGTGTATATATTATGTATTATTGTATTTTTTAGGACAATCAGTATACGATACTTGTGAAGGAACTGCTCCTTTTAGGCATAGGAAGTCAGAAAACTATTTGTCCATGTCAGATGAAGCGTCTGGTGAAGAGTACTTGTGTGACAATGAACTTTTTTAATTACATTTTTGGATGGTTTCGTTAAAATTAAAAACTCTTTCTGGTGTGTTGTTTTTATGTTTTAATGTGTACATATAAAAAATAAAAGGTATCAAGTAAACATTCGTTTTTAGGCAAAGCGTCAACTTCTCAGATTACATTTTAATAAAAATACGAGAAAAAAGTTGGAAATGCTTCAAAACTCCGTCGGAAGACATCAATGTTTATCTGCCCTTGTCGTATCATAAAATAAGTAATTTTATCGTATATATTTATGAGCTAGAAATAATGATTTAAACAAGTATTTTAATATCCCCAATCATAATTCTACAAAATTTTCTCAGCTATTCATAATTTAATAAACTATTTACATACATGACACGAAATTATTATTAAAATCAATAAAATATTTTTCTACGACTTTACTTTGGTTAGCTCCGCGGCAAAACTGTCAATTTCTTTGTATGTAGTAGGAGAACTGCGAAAAGCCTTTCCAACTTATGTCCCTGATCTACATGATGCAACGTTTTAGTGGATTAGCTAACAAAAAGTTGATACTTTATTCGGAATTTCCTTTTGTCTTTCATGGATTATAAAGGTAAATTATAAAGTACAATGCGTTGCATTATTGTTGCATTAGTGAGGCAAACAAAAACAAGCAATTCTCTCATTGATTTGAACATACAAGTTTTCAGTTTGAGAATATGGTTGTCATAAAAATCTAGTTGAACAATTATGTATATAGAGATATAGGCATGAGACATACATACTTATACATATTCAATGTTAAGCGATCATGTAAACATATCGTTGAATTTCAGGCTGTTTATTTTGGAAAGAACTCGCTTCATTAACGTAGAAAATTTCCGATAGCGTAGTTTCATTGGGACAACGAAAAGCAATAATTGGTTATTTGTATTAAAATAAAATTTTAGATTGTTTAATTGGCCGAGGTCTACACTATTATTAATAAAAACCAGATGCTAAAAATCCTATTTTTTTATTAAACACTGTGATCTATTTATTATAATTTCTATGGGCTGCGCCATCAGAAGCCTGGCCAAGAATAGACATTGACTTTGCAGGGCCATTTTAGGGAAGAACGTTATTGATTGTAGTAGATGCGTACATTAGTTGGTTAGAGGTCGCCCCTTTGGCCTCCACAACGCAAACCAACACTATAAAAGCATTTATTGAAATATTTTCGGTCTTTGATGACCTATAAAGATACAGCTGTCTCTAGACATCTCTCAGAGGCAACCAGCAGGTTTTGACAAGTTGATACAGGTTTTATATACCCTTGGAGGATGCACAATGGGCCTAAGTACTGTGGAAGTATCCACCTTCCCCATCTTACAGATAGTTTATATTGTTAATTGAAACAAATGTAGGATGTTGCTATAAAATTAGAATGTCCATTTTGACAAAAAATATCATGTGGTCCTATTTATAAGATAACAGCAATTTATATAACTAATTTTATTTAGTCATCAAGAAAACTTTGTTCTCTATAATTAATAATAAATGTTTATTATAATAATCTGTTTTTTTTGTTTTATGACTCAGATATTTACTGTCTCAGTTTGTGATTTTATGTGTTTTGTGTAGGCTTTATGTTACTGTTTCCCTTACAGACTTTGATTACTATACGGTGAAAGAGAGAGGTCCGACACGCCCAACATAGGGCGCGGCCATTTTGATGCCTTTACCACAGTTTATAACTAAAGAATCAGTTTGCTCACTCTGCGTCGTCACTTTTGATCTCAATTTTCCAGTTTATACACTGCGCAACTCGGATAATACAATATATGATCACCGCCTATATTCAAACAGCAGTCTTCTGCGTATCCTGAATTTGTATCCCTGGAGTGGATGTTATTTTGGAATATTCAACTGGTCCGAGTGAGCTAACTGATTCTTTAGCAACAAACTGTGCCTTTACTACTAGGTAAGGAAATACATATTATATTTCCGAAATGTTAAACTGGTAGTCATACATCCTGGTATTTAGACAATCAAAAGGGAACAACAAAGCACTAAAAATTAACAAAATCGCCAATTAATTAAAAATAATCGTATAAATCACGTCTTAAACATAAAATGATATACAGGGTATTAGTAAATAAGTGCAACAAACTTCAGGGGGTGATTCAGCATGAAAAAATGACAGTTATGCTTCGTTTTCCAAATACGGGGTGTTAAAGTTTTTCTTAAAAACTGATGATTTGTTTATTGCTCTGAAACCGGTCAAGATATGCAAATGAAATTTGGTGGATTTTAAGAGGTAGTTATTCTGCATTTTTCGACATGCAATTAAGAATTTTATGTTTATCATTGGCGTGCATACGGGCAATGATCTCAATTCATTTAAAGAAAAAAATGGTACGCCACTGAGATATTTTAAATAAAAAATCATTTTTGAATTCCTCATTAAATTTGTCACAAAAAATATTTTTAGCCTTTTTTTCGTGTGGGGCGCCGTTTTTATGCAAAAAAATAAAATATCTTAACGCGTATTTTCCATTTCTTTAATACATTATTATCTAATAGCGACGCTAGTACTAGTAGGCTATTGTTAACATTCTGTTAAATACGAATAGTTTAACGAAATGTCAAATTAGCCTTTCTTCATTATTAAGCTTTTAGTTTGGTATAACGTCGATGTTAATAAGTAATTAACTTTTCTTTTATCGAAAACAATGGAAAATTATACAAACGTGGAATTGTCAGACATGCATTTTGTCTATGGTCGAAGTAATGAAAATGGTCGGCAAGCTCGACGATTGTATGCCGAGTTGTATCCAGGACGTAGGGTACCCCATCACACAATATTTGCTCGCCTTCACCAACGTTTGCGCGAAAATGGTACATTTAAGAAACAAACGGCTGACTGCGGGCGCCCTCGAGAAGTACGAACTGTGCATCTAGAAGAAGCAGTTCTCGAGTTAATTGCGGAGTCAACGGAAACAAGTACTCGAAAAATTGCCAACATAATAAATGTAAGCAACTTCACTGTATTTAGAATTCTTAAAGAACAGCAGTTGCATCCGTTTCATATTTAACTACCTAGAGACTTTCTTCCGCGCCTATTTTTTTGCCCATGGATTCTTCATCAAATCGCTCAAATTCCTAATTTTTTAAATACAGTTTTGTTTACTGACGAAGCTAATTTTGGTCGAGAGTCTATACGAAATTTCCATAACAATCACTTATGGGCTGAGGAAAATTCACATGGAATCTTTGAAGCTCATTTTCAGCATCAGTTTTCGGTAAATGTATGGATTGGGGTAATTGATGATCATTAAATCGGTCCATATTTCCTTCCACAACGACTAACAGGCGACTCTTACCTTAATTTCCCACAGGAAGAGTTACCTGTTCTTCTTGAAGAAATTCCTATACAGCCGAGACAACACTTATGGTTCATGCATGATGGTGCACCAGCCCATTTTAGCATTGATATACGAAATCACTTACATGCAGTATATGCAAATCGTTGGATAGGTAGGGGAGGTACGGAACATTGGCCTGCTCGATCGCCGGATTTAAATCCTCTGGATTTTTGCATTTGGGGTTTTCTTAAGTCACTAGTTTATTCCACTCCCGTCAAAAATGTTGGAGACCTGAGGAACGGAATTATAGCCCGGTGGGAGACAATAAGAAATACACCAGGACAATTTGCGCGAATACGACAATCAATGCGGCGAAGAGTTGAATCTTGTCTCACGTCTGAGGGAGGTAATTTTCAGCATTTGTTGTAGCTTTGCGCCTATTTAAAATTTTATTAGTGTTATTTTCTGTTATTGTTCTAGTTTAATGTAATTGTATTAAATAGTTCTTGATAATGTATTAAAGAAATGAAAAATACGCGTTAAGATATTTTATTTTTTTGCATAAAAACGGCGCCCCACACGAAAAAAAAGGCCAAAAATATTTTTTGTGACAAATTTAATGAGGAATTCAAAAATTATTTTTAGTTTGAAATATCTCAGTGGCGTACCATTTTTTTCTTTAAATGAATTGAGATCATTACCCGTATGCACGCCAATGATGAACATAAAATTCTTAATTGCATGTCAAAAAATGCGGAATAATTACCTCTTAAAATCCACCAAATTTCATTTGCATACCTTGACCGGTTTTAGAGCAATAAACAAATCGTCAGTTTTTAAGAAAAACTTTAACATCCCCATATTCGAAACGAAGCATTTTCAGACATACTTTAATATAGCAAACTGTCATTATTTTTTCATGCTGAATCACCCCCTGAAGTTTGTCGCACTTACTTACTAACACCCTGTATAAATCCTCAAAACTTGTTCGTTGGGATTTATGTAAACATAAAGAAAATGGTAAAATCACGGTAAACGGCGAAACGAGCAAAACACTCCATATAACAAAATAATATTCACTGACACTGACAGCAGCAAGCAAAATATTAAAAATATTGCGCTAAAATGTAGGCAACACGTAATAAGGCATCAAAATGGCGGAGTTTTCTATCTCCTTTTGAAAGGCACTCAGAAAGCTGCGCAGTGCGACCATTCTCCGTATTGTAAGAGAAAATCAAAGAATGTGGTTTCCCTGTTATAAAATTGTTAAGCTCTCTTAATATTATTTGACGATATGGATACTCAACATTACAACACAAAAAAATATGTGTTTAAAACACCTCTTGAAGTAAAATAGGTTATTCTTTTTTCTGTTTCTAAATATTCAAATGCTGAAATTTTATTTTAAAACACGTTTGGATCAGAACGATTTTATTCAGTAAACATTTGAAAAGACGCTTTTCGTAATCCTATTTAAATATGGGTGAGCAATCTTCATAACGATATCATTGGTCATATTGCGAAAAACTATCGAAAAACGCACCGTGTTGCCAGATTTACGACGTTCAATAGCTATCGAGGATCGGAATGCATTTTTAGTAGATCATTAGCGTTAATGAGTCTATAAATATTTAACGATAGCACAGTTTATAGCTATAAACTGTGACGATAGTTCTTGCAACCGGCTGT